CCATATATCTTCAAGTAGCGAGGCAGCAGTCCACCCTGACGGATCTGCCACGCCTGGGTAAGAATGATGGTGAGAACAGTTGGAATGACCAATGCCAATGCAAGCTTAGCCCCTGGTTGTTGTTGGATATCCATGGGGGTCAGGCGCTGAAGCGGGATCAACCGTGCGAAGGTATAGTTGTTCAAAGCACCGATGAAAAGTGCAGGCAGGTATAGGAATAGCTTAGACAGCTGGTATATAGGGGAGCTGATTGGCCTCAGCAGGGGGGGCTGCACAAAACTTGTATAGCACGTAAACAACGAATGAAGCGGGCAGCAGTCGAGACAAAAGCGTGGATACGAGGTCGGCCAGATAGGGATACGAGGGAGGGTCGGCGACCAGCCCCGTATGGCAAAACACCATAAAGAAGGTGCTGAAGAAAAGAATTGGTGGCGATGTGCAGAACAGCCAGAGAACCCCAACAGCTGCAGCCGTAACACCGAGAAGCGGCCAGCGCGGATCCGATGGGCAGTTTGCTTGCGACGAAGACGGGTGAAGGAAGCTGAATGACTTTGGGAAAGTGGACGGAAAGGCTATCGACTTGATCCCATGCTGCTTCACTGATGGGAAGGAGTGCGCAGCGCCTTCCAGCTTTGCAACACCACAGCCACCGTCGTTTGAGATGGCTCCAGCGTGAATGGCTGCTTGACAGACAAAGCTGTCAGCCCGATAGATCGCCGTATCCGGTGACTGGGGAGATGGCCCTCCGATAACCAGTCCTCGGTAATTGACTGTTTGATTTCCAACGACATGAGGCTTCAGTAACTTCGCATCGCGGCAATTGGCGGGGCATCGGAAAGCAATTGTTGATTCGGAAAAGGGACGGCAGTCATTTCCATTCAGGCCACACCTATTATCAAATTGCCTACATTATTTCGGGGTTAGTTTGAGGTATACAAATATAGATCGCCTCGGGCTCGTTATCAATACATACCAGAGGTTTGTTGTACACGATAGAGTCTGCAGCTGGCCGTATCCCTCGATATAACCGGATGATCGCGAGTGAAGTAGAACGAGGAACCACGGCAGAAACCAAGAGAGGTATAACAAGCCCAGAAGTAAACCTTTTTGTTTGCGCTTTGGGAAGAAGCGGTCAAGATATTGGACCGGCAATTCCTGGATACGCGGAAACAGCGGTTTCAAAAGGAGCATGTGCGGCGGGTCAGGGCCCTTGATCCAGTGTGCAACCGAGCGACCGGCCTTTCGAAGGGGCAAGGGCACCCAGCCCCAGCGGAAGGACTTGGAGGACTCCTGCAGCCAAATAGGCAGTGGGCTCCCGGACTCGACATCAGGCGGCGGGAGATCTTCGGAAGTGTCGGGATCAGCGATTCGGTCATCATCCTCAAGGAGCGGGGGCACATAGAGGCGGGCAGCCTCATCACGACCTTCCCCAATCATGGCTGGGAGGGAGTATCAAGAGAACGGAGAAGGATGAAGACCGAGAGAGTCGAATGAATGTCCAGGACTCAAGGCCTATAATGTCGGGGGCCGGAGCGGTCGGCGCGCTAGTCAGGTGGAGATCTCCAAAGTGGGTTTTTTAAGCTGAAGATCACCAGGAACGCCAGCCATGAACCCAAGATGCAAGGGGGGGTTAAAAGATCGAAGTTGAAGAATGGATAGAAGATATCATGAGACCAAAAAGAGAATGAGTGATTGCGGAGAGGAGAAAGAAGAGAGAGGAGACAAGAGAAAGAAGTGCCAGCGTTGAATTGAGACTGGGGGGCGACCAGGCAACAAGGCAGCAATCCCCCGTGACAGCCAATCACGGGACTTCAATATTCCTCTTGTATTTATTTTAGCTTCCTGTTCCTGTTCCTCCTTATGCCTTCACTCTTCCTTCTATACACTCAGGGCACAGGACTGAACACAATTGTCAAACTCAAAACAACGCCGGGCACTAATGCAGGACCGTGCAACACACATCCTATCCCATCCTATCCCATCCTATCCCACCCCCGCAAGGACCGATGATCGATGCTCCATGCTCGTATAGCTTATGGGATATCCAGGTGGACTCGGCAACCCTACCCCAACGGCCTTATCAATCTAGGGTATAATTCGCAGACTCCATGATCGGTACCAGATATCACTTTTAACCTCTCAGGATTGCACGATTACAGGATTCCAAGTTCCACCATGATTCGGCGGGCGGGACGTAAAACGGTCCGCTTATCAAGCACACGGACTCCCCCGGTTAGAGAGAGCGGGGATGAATGGCGAGATTAGAAATCAAAATTATTTGGGGTAATTAAATAGGTGTAGTAGTAAACTAGTCGGTCAAGGCCATATGGTACCTTATGTAGCCATTTTCCCCATCTCCATCCAATTCAACGGACCACCTGCATGACCGTTGAGCTGCAGCGATCGACCATCATGACAGCCATGACAGTTCCACCTTTGGACTTGTCCCACCACTTCTCCTATGCCACCAAGAATCGAAACCTCAGCAAAATCAAGGACTTTTACAAGTATTTCCTGATTCCCAACATTGCTAATTTCGCTGGCGGTATCATCCCTGGTCCTAAAATAAATCCTCCGATTCGCACCCGCTAATATTCTTCTAGGATTGCCACATCCTTCCTATTTCCCCTACGATACTCTCGAAGCAACTGTCGCCCGACCGCAACGATTGCACCCTTCCAACAAGGATGACGCCAAATCGGACCGAGTGACCGTTCCCAAGGAAGTCCAAATTACCGACCCCTCTCGTCGTATCGATTTAACGACGGCTCTACAGTATGGCACCGCTGAAGGATACCCGCCGTTGTTCTCGTTCCTCCGGGCATTCGTAAAAGACCATCTTCACCCCAATGTGCCCTACGAGGGAGGACCTGAGATCATCCTCTCCTGCGGAAATACCGATGGCTTCTCAAAGGCAATCGAGCTCTTGACCAATGTCTGGAATCCCGACCGGGACTGGATCCAACAGCGTCAAGGTGTCTTATGCGAGGAGTTTGCCTACATGAATGCCATTCAGACTGCTCGACCTCGAGGTTTGAATGTCATCGGCGTCGCAATGGATGGACAGGGAATGTGTGCTGCTGGTAAGGGAGGTCTACAAGATGTACTGGAAAACTGGGACTTTCGACGAGGTCGTCGACCACACATCATATACACCGTGACGTGAGATCCACCGTTTACATGCCAATCGACTGCAAAAGCAAGAAATAATGCTAACCGCGGGTAACAGCATTGGTCAAAATCCAACTGGAGGCACCCTATCCATCGAACGCCGGAAAGAAATCTACGCTCTATGCCAGAAGTACGATGTGATAATCGTCGAAGATGATCCATACTGGAACCTCCAATTTCCCTCCGCCTACGAAATGGAAGCACGTTACCGTGGGGCCACAGTACAACAGACTCCATACAATCGAAATTATAATGCACAAGGCAGGTCGTCAGGTTACGCTTTTCTGGACTCCCTCGTCCCTTCTTATCTATCAATTGATACCGAGGGCCGAGTAATCAGACTAGATACCTTTTCCAAGACAATCGCTCCGGGTAGTCGGCTTGGCTGGATCACAGCGCAGCCCGCTTTCATCGAACGCCTAGCTCGCATCACAGAGGTGACAACCCAACAACCATCCGGATTTGTCCAGTCTGTAGTTGCAGAGACTCTTATGGGAAAACAGCCCAGCGAGAATGAAGCTCGTGTCTCAAAGAGGCCAGATGGTAATGGGTGGCAGATGGACGGCTGGGTCCGCTGGCTTGAGGGATTGAGGAGCGGCTACGAAAGAAGGATGCAATCGATGTGCACAATCTTAGAAGAGAATAGGTTTCTTTTTCACCAGAACGCGGAGTTTCAGGACATGGAATCTGATAACATGGATAATTGGGAGGTAGTCGACCGAGTCCAGATGTACGACTTCGTCTGGCCAAAGGGCGGTATGTTCGCATGGGTGGAGATCCTTTTCGACTCACACCCACTCCGGTCGCAATACAGTTCTGAGAAACTATCGAAAGCCCTCTGGATCCATCTCACAAAGAAGCCGCATGTGTGCCTAGTTGGCCCGGGTAGTATGTTTGCCTCGACGCCCAAGTCTGCTGAATCCGCGCACAAGTATATCCGCATTGCTTTCGCTCCGATGGATGCAGAGGATGTGGCTCCATTTACCAGGAGATTGGTGGAGGGCTTCCGGTCTTTCTGGCAGCGCAAGAACCTAGATGGATTGGATGAAGATGATGCTGTCGTCATGCAGAATCTGCAATTGGGGTCTGCGATCAACTTTGTTGGTACCAACTGCTAAGAAATCAAACTTAGAGTAGTGTGCGATCAATCATTACGAATTAATGAATGACTCTTTCAAATTTTTATTTATTTGATATGAAAATAAATTTAAAGCTTCAAGCTCGAAGAACCTCCACCCTGTCGCGGCCCCAGGGGCGGTACCTTCAAGTTGCTGACAACACTCAACTTTGAAATAAAGTAATATTCCCTAAAGATGGATATATAAAGCGAACAGGTGGGCTAGACTCATAACATCTACTATTAGGTACCTAGGTAATAATTCACTAGGGTTTGTTCAAGTTCAAGTTCTGGTGGATCAAGTGAGGGTGTCCTGTGCATAGGTGGTATACTAACCTTAGTAGAAATATATACATCACGAGAAAAAATAGTACTCGTAGTAATTTCCTTCGAAATCCAACGCACCAAACTGAAAATTGGAGTAGGAAACATCTAGTATAACAATAATGGCTCTCCAATTATGTAAACTCGATTTTGTATTCAAAAACATGGGGTTGCAGCAGTGTTGTATACTAGTAGCGAGGTGGCGGCGGGAACGCCACAAGTCCGTCCAAGCCCAGACCGCGGATGGCGATCGAGGCGACTGTATACTATGACGTCTCGCTCTAATATAAATAAAAGAATATCTATAAGTCTCCATTTAGATAGATAAGCTCATTAATACCGCATTGATACCACCTATCTATTAGATAACACTGGAATACACGCCAGAATGACCCTCGCACTGGACCTCATCAACCGAAACTTCGTTGGCGAACTCGCCAAAGGCCAGCCACTTTACGAGAAAACACCATCGGATGCACGACAGGTTCTGGAAACTCTTCAAAAGCATGTCCCCGCCCCCGATATAGCCCAAGATTACATCGATGTTCCACTCGGGTCTGGCTCAGTGAAGACGGTCATCTTTCGACCTGAAAATGCCAATCGTGATATACCGTCCATCTTCTATACTCATGGTGGCGGTTGGATCCTGGGAGGTGCGTATTGCCTCCCACCAAATGGAACTGCCTATGTATTCTAACAATCACATTTCCTGTATAGCCCCAGTGCATTCGGCTCTTTAATGGAAGACCTTTCCCGCCAGACGGGGGCCGCAGTGATATTCCCACACTTTTCTCCCGCGCCAGAGAAGCAGTACCCAAGTCAATTCGAAGAGTCATTTGCCGTACTCAAATATATGGTCGAGCATGGCGACATGCACCACCTGAAAACAGAGACCATGTCCTTTGCAGGCGACAGTGCTGGTGGCAAGTCCCCCTTCATCTCTGCCCATATTTCCTCACACATAAGAGACATCTGACATAAAATCCCCAGGCCACATGGCCATCGCAATGGTCCACCTCTCCCAGAGAAATAATCTCCCCCTGAAAATCGCCCACCTAGTCCTCTTCTACCCGGTAACGGACACCCATCAAAAGAGCACAACTTACAAGACTTTCAAGGAGGGACCATATCTCTCACGGAGCGCACGATGGACTGGATGATCGATGCCTTTATACCCAATAAACCGGATAGGTGTAACTCGCTCACCTCGCCGCTGAGCTTTTCGTCCGATGAAGAGCTAGCCCAGTTCCCGCCTACGACGCTGTTTCTTTCTGGCGCAGATCCGCTCATTGGCGAGGGCGAAGCATTTGGATTACGCTTGCAGAAAAATGGGGTCGATACTTCGATCTTGAGGGCTGACGGGCAGATTCATGATTATGTGATGCTTGAACCAATACGCCAGACTGCGACTGCGAGGGCGGTTGTGGAGCTTGCTGCGGCCCATTTGAAGAGGGGTCTTGTATAGTCACGGTGCATATAAAGAACTAGTAGAATGGAAATTAGTCATATCATTCCGATAGAAAAAGCAAATCAACCCTGTCAAAATGCTTGAAGTGTACTTTTATGCCTTGGGGACCCTGGAGGGAATTCTTCTAGAAACCTTCGGTGCATGGAGAATTGCTGCCTGAGTGCCTGATGGAAAACAAAGGTGGGGAAAACAGAATTAACTCCGCAGTCCCAATTCTATCTTCTCCAACAGAACATGCGGGCGCAATGTCACAGCTGGACGACCTGCCGAACCGGGACCTTGCCGAAGAAGTCGAGGCTATAAATGCCATATACGAGCCTGACACGATCACAATAAGCCGCGCGGCGAGCACCTCCACCAGCACGCTAGACCTGGGCAGCGGCGGCTCCTCCTCAAATGACCCCGCACAAACGACGGTGACACTCCAGCTCCCTGGCCAACCGCATCTTTCCTTTCTGCTTGGGTTTGGAGCTTCATACCCTGAGACCCAGCCGTATATCCTTGGGACTGCATCGACTGCAGCGCGTGGGGAGGGCAAGATTGCGGTTGATGTGTTGGAAGATATTGTACAGCGGACATGGCAGCCCGGTGCGGTCTGTTTGTTTGATGTGATTAGTGAAGCGGTGGAAGTATTTCCAGAACTCAATATTGGAGGGAATAAGGAAAGCGAACAACTATCCGGAACGACAGAGTCAACGTCAGCCGGACAATCTTCAAATTCAAACGATAAACTCGATGAAGAAATCACCATCTCGAATGAAGAATTTGCGGCCCTCTCATTAAAGGACGCTTTTGGACTTGACAGCCCACCCGATTGGATTCTTTCCGACGTTGTGACGGAGAAGAAATCTGTCTTCCTGGCCAGAGCCGTCCAGGTAAAGGATCTTGCGCAGGCGCAGGCATTCCTGGATCATCTAACGGCTACGGATAAAAAGGTCGCAGTGGCATCACACAATATATCTGCTTGGCGTATTAAGCAAAAGAAAGAAGGAGGTGCCACAGGCTCAGAGCCTGGAGAGACTGTTGTGCAGGATTACGACGACGATGGGGAAACTGCTGCAGGGGGTCGACTACTACATGTTATGCAGCTGATGGATGTTTGGAATGTGCTTGTTGTCGTGTCGCGCTGGTACGGTGGTATCCATTTGGGACCGGCGCGGTTCCGACTTATTAATGATGTTGGTCGTGATGCTTTGGTCAAGGGGGGGCTTTCGGCGAGAGGAATCGTCGATTCCTGAAAAGGGGAAGAAGAAAGGCAAAAAGTGATGGGCCGTGGGTGTTTGAGGCAGTACTCTGGTCTTCACTGTAAATATTCAAGATCTAGAATGGTTTATCAGGTACTAGAAGGTCTTTCTTAGTATCACGGATCAGCATTTTCTTCATATAGATCTTTCTTTCAGCCCTCGGGCACAAGGGACTTTGCTGCGAGAGAATTTCATGGAGGATGCTGGCATGAAAATTCGTTCACTTGGTTCTTTTGATACACTTGACACACAGAAACTTTAGTTTATATTGGATGGCGCCAACTTGCGTGAAATGGCTTGGCTTGGGTTGCACCAAAGTATTTCCCTGATCAAGGAAGGTGGTATGAACGAGAAAACCTTCACATTCATGCTCCGTACTGGTGAGAAGTATAGTATGACGACGAAGAATAGGCTGCAAGATACGTCCATGAAACACACTAGGGTGGTTGCTTTCAGGAAGACCCCTCTCTTCGCCTCTGGCGGTTTGTTGGGGACCACACGACCCATCCACTTCAGAGGACCACACGATCCAAGAGTCTCAATTTCATACAGATTGAATCAGGGTCAATTGATTGAACAGCTTCCTCCACTTCTGCCTCCTCCTGATGTGACCATGGGGCGAATTCGACAGGTTCATAGCATCGAGAACACAGTCGAGGCAAAGGAGGAGACCAGGAGAACGTCACACGCGAAGCTTTTGTGAGGTGTTTCCAGCCTCGCCGAGCATCTCCGATCATCTACCATGGATTTATGACTGCTCATTTTTGAAGCTATACCCACCATCCACGCTTTCTCGAAATAGTCATGGCCATGCGAGAAGAGGAGAAGGAAAGATATGGTTTGATTGCGATGACCGGCTAGTTTTGTTCGTCTGTCAGGCGACCTGTGGTCTGAGAGTGATAGACCAGTATTTGCCTTGTTTATGGGCCAGTTTAACCTCCTAGATATGGAGTAGTTTAATCTCAAGATCAGTCGGACTGTTCGGTGTACCGTGGTTCGGGCAATTGGGAGAACGAGTCGCAGCTGGTCTCGGCAGGCTTCGTGATCGAACGGGTCTTGGCCATCTCAAATTTTCAGGTACTGCTCGTAGTACTCTTAGCTTAGTCCCTGCGAACGCCATCAACCCACTATGTATGGGCAGCCTCATGATGATATCCACTTCTGCCAAGTCAACTTCGCGTTAACCGAGATAATGCGGACCCTTGATGGTAGGGCATCTTAATTTGAAGAATTCCCATTCGCTAATGGCGATGAAGAGAGGTTGAAGATGGGCCTAGATGGGGATGACCATCAATATGAAACACGTCTAGAAGGGCATTTGATGGAACGCTGATCGCGGATGCGGAGTATTGGATCCATGGATTCGACCTGGAAGGAGTGGCTGGCAATCTCACTGCAGCAACCATAGTAGTATCACTGATCGTGCGGAGGAGAAATCCGCATGTCAAGTGCATAGCAAAGGTATACGAGTAGTGGAGAGAAGGGTGGTTTCTAATTTCCCCAAGATTGACCAAGATTGACGTTCCCAGACCTGAAGAGATGAAACGCGAAACAAAGTTCGGTTGACACCTTCCCTTCCCCCCCGATGATTCTCCACTTCAACTTGATCTTCATTCACGCTAGAACCGCTCTGGCATCAGCCCAGCCGTCTTCAGGTTGTCGTCGCTCCAGGCGAGCATCAAAGCTTTGCCTTTTTGAGAAGTTTTTGAGAAGGAGGGCCATCAGGGACATCATGAAACCTGTACGCTGACATGGGACATGGAACACGGGATACGGGATGCGGGATACAGGACACAGACACAGGACACAGGATGCAGAATCGCATCGTCAAGCGCGGGTGGCTTGAAGAAATGTCGTACAATGGGAGATGTCTCTTTCCCGTGACGAACTCAGAGACATCAGAAGCACAATGACATCCCCAGCATGGCAGCCTCCAGCCGTTGCGTCATATCAGGATCCTCTGGGTTTCTACAGGTCGCAAGGGCGGAATCACATTGGCTTGGACATACCAATCACGGTCGCAGGTCCGATGCTTCTCCATTGAATCAACGTCCACAGTGGAGCTATCACGACTGGAAAGTAGCGACCACAACAACGCTGAAACGGAGACGTTTACAGCTGCAACACCCCCTGTCAGTGGGACCATCGGTTTCTTCCGACCGATTTACATCGAGCCGGCCAACAAGGAGAGTAGGCGCTAAACCGTCTTCTCCCCCACAGCCAATACCCTGGAATAATTGCCGGTCGCCGGACCAGACACATGGGAAAGCTGCGAAAAACCTACGATCGATGGTGCGGCAGTGGAACACTTGTCAGGGGGCGGCGAAGACCGTGCCTTGCGTGTACCGAGACGGTGGTTGGCTACTTTCTCAGCCGCCGAGACCAGCTGGCAGATCGCAAGGTCCGGGGACTCGCATCCTGACATCCTCACTGGCTGGACCACACTTGCCATTCACTACACATCACTGCCACTCACCGCATCATTCCTCCGTCTGAGGTGGGAGCAGAGGCGAGACGTGAAACACCCCAGCTTGCAAAAATTGACATACTGTCACCCTCTCCACCCATTGCTGCCTCCTGGTTGGCACAATCTCCCATCTCCGAGCGGGCATCTATACTCCTGGTTTGGCGTGGTGTGGAGGTTGATCAAACTTTAGAGGTATCCGATTGATTGGCATCCATCCAGCATCCCATGGCTTGTCGTCTCCATCAAGGATCCCGGATCTCTGAATGGATCCTAATGGATCCCGCTTGGCTTCTGCCAGGGCGCACGGCCTGTCTGGCCGGTCTGGTTGGCTGCGACCTGATCTGTACTCTGTAGGCTCAACCTAGATATAAAATCCTTGGCCGCGCCAACCTGGGTTCTTTTTTTTCTACTCGTGCATTCCGATTCATTTTTTCTTTCCTTCCTTCACGGTTCGACAACCTCAAACAGGCCAGTCCTGTATTCCTTTCTCTTTCTATCTTTGCTTGGTAGTCAGCCTGTGGCCGATTCCGACATTCCTTCAAGCGTCTCCGCTTCCACAAACATCAACACGTTTTTTGCTTGTCTCTGCCTGTGGCAAGACATTAGACTTCATTCTTCAATAAGCTTCAAAGCTTACGAACAATATACGTTTCAAAGAGACACATTCACTGTTTCTTTGCTTCAATATCCCGAGACAATTCATCCCAGGTGGTTTGAAAAAGACTCAGGAACATTAGCAGGATTGTACCTAGACAATTCCTGCTGTTTCACACAAAAGGTATTGTCCTCGCTCTTGGTTTCTGATTGCATTGCGGCTGTTACCTGTTTGTCTCATTCTTTCCGTTCCACAATGGGGAGGTGGTGAATGATATGACGCTACTGAGGGTCCATCCGCGACACAATCCCTTTCTGCCTATAAATTCTCCGAAGATATTCACCAGCCCCGTCATGATTTATCTCATCTCTTCCAACATGATCTCCTCTTTTCTTCCTGCTAATAACTTGGCGCAGGAAGCCTTCGCTCACTTCGCTCTCGCGACTACCAACATCCAATCCTTTACTGTTTGATCCCGTTCGTCTGGTACGAATTCGATCTAAATTTCCAAAAACTTCGCTCGAACCGATAAAAAAAAGCATATCCAATATCCATCATGATGTTCACCAACTCCCTGATCGCTGCTGTTCTCAGCGCATCCATGGTCAACGCCCACATGATCATGAGCAACCCTGTTCCGTACAGCAAGGATTCGCTCAACAACTCTCCGCTGGCGGCTGATGGAAGCGACTTCCCCTGCAAGCTTCGTTCGAACACCTTCGAGGTCACCAAGGAGAATATCATTGCTCAGGGTGCATCTCAGCAACTGACTTTCGAGGGCAGTGCTGTTCACGGCGGTGGCTCCTGCCAGATCAGTTTGACAACCGACCGTGAGCCTACCAAGGACTCCGAGTGGAAGGTCATCCAGTCCTACGAAGGTGGCTGCCCAGCCAAGGCGGATGGCAATCTCTCTGGCAATGACGACTCTGTATTCCACTTCGACATGCCTTCTGACATCGAGGCTGGCAAGTACACTCTCGCCTGGACCTGGTTCAACCGCATTGGTAATCGTGAAATGTACATGAACTGTGCACCCGTCACTGTTACTGGCGGCTCCAAGAAGCGCGCCCCCAAGGAGGAGAAGGTTATCGAGAAGCGAACAGCCAACTACCCACCCATGTTCGTTGCCAATGTTAACGGCTGCACCACCAAGGAAGGCATCGATATCCGTTTCCCCCAGCCCGGTGCCAAGATTCAGTATCTTGGTACGGCGGCGAATCTCGCCCCAGAGGGCCAAGATGCCTGTACCGGCCCTGCATCTTTCGGTGGTGCTGGTATCTCTGGCTCTGGTTCTTCTGGCTCTGGTTCTGGTTCTGGTTCTTCTGGCTCTGGTTCTGGTTCTGGCTCCGCAACATCTGCCGAGCCCAGCACTGCTCCCACTTCCAGTGCGCCCGCAGATCCAGCTCCTACCACTACCCAAGCTCCAACTGAAACCACCGCGCCTATTGCTCCTCAGCCTGTTACCTCCAGCACTCAAGCAGCTCCCGTTCCCTCTGCATCTTCCGGTGGTTCCTCCAGCGGTTCCTCGAGTGCTGGTACTCTGACCGGCGCTTGCAGTCCTGAGGGCCAGTGGAACTGCATTGCTGGTAGCTCTTTCCAGCGTTGCGCCAATGGACAGTGGTCTGTGTCCCAACAGCTGGCGAGTGGCACCAAGTGCGATGCTGGTCAGGGCTCCAATCTTTCCGTGTCCGCCTCCAAGAGGGCCCATGAGATCTCCGCCATGCGCTTCCGCAAACGCACTATCGGTGAATCTCACCATGCCTAAACCAGGCTTAAGCACTATTCGCTAAAGCCCTTCTCAACCCTCGCCGGCGTCGGTTGTTCTTTTGCTTCTTCTATTTGCATTTGTGAATTATTTACTTCCTTTACATTCGTTTCCGATCCCAGATTAGACTTTTGGGCGGACCCTTTTCATTTCAGTGCATCATCTTCGTCTTACACCATGTACATTTGTGGAGATAGGGCTTGAGAAATAGGACATCACTTGATGTTATATGTGTCTAGTGCTCACAGAATCAAAGAATCTTTCAGTTCAAAGCTTAATTTGACGACTTGTAGTATTGATAAAGCTAGATGCATCGGCCCTTCCCGACGTCTTAGATCTGATCCGTTCTCCAGCTAGAGGACTATATCTCTACGTAGAAAAGAAAACCCAACGAATGGGTACAACTGGACTTATGCGGCAGTAGTATGTATGGGGGTTTTGCCAAATTGTGGGGCTGCGGTCTGGATTTTACTATTCTAATCTATAAAATTACAAATTATGAAATTATTATGAATTCTCTCATTTGTGGATTTTGAAACTATCTCTCTAGCCGTTTTAGATCCCAACCCCGGCCGATCTATGATCAACTGTGAAGAATCTTTTTTCGGTATCATCACTCATACTTTTCTCACTCTCCCACCATCCAAGGTGAAAACGTTGATAGGCGAAGACCCGATTCAGCTTCTTGCCATCTGGGTCCCAAACTCCCTTCAGAAACTCGTCAAGTAGTTGTGAGTCTGCAACAATGCTTGCCACTGCTGCAATGCTGCAGGGGTTCTTAGGAATTACCCGATCCGTATTCAGTAGCATCGATCCGATGATACCCAGTGCCAAGATGAATGCCAACAACCCTTCCAAAATTCGGGTTGAAGTGACATCCTGAACAACACGCAATCGGTTTGACGTCGTAACATTGCCTAGTATTGGCGAATGGGCAATACTATCGTTTGCGGTTCCACGAGTATAGTTATTGAATTGCTGGGCAGAGATGATCTTGTGTTGATGTTTGATTGCGTCGGCAACTGCTTCATCGTGCTCTTCACTTTTGAAGTTCTCGATAGGAATAGCGTATCTTCCAGAGGTAAGGTCTTGGAAGAAACCGTCGAACTTTGGGTACCTTCCATTTGCATTCAGGACCCACCATTCAGGGATAGGTGTGTAAAGATTTGGTGCCAACTTGGCCGATGATTCGTCAGGAACTGGAGGGTTCGTTTCATCGATTTCTAGTCCTGGAAGATGAAAACGTGTCCGTACATTGACTGTCTCCGCATATTGAATGCATGATAGTCCCATTACATGCTCAACTGATGACCCATTGAGATAGCCCCAGAGGTAGAATGTCGTATAATGGGACGCGCCCACAACCCCGTCGCTGTTCCCGCTTTCGAAATTGCACTGGCTTTCGAACGAGTATCCAAAAGGCTCAGATCCCATTTCGTCCCATACACTGAGTGATAGATTTCCAATGCTGTTAGTATTATTACCGGGGCAAGCAAAAGTCAATTGATTAAACCAAAGCTGGTGACTGCCAGCTGGCCCAAACTGAGGCCGAGTCAGTTTCGGTTGCAGATCCGCGGTAGTTTGGATCTTGCATTGAGGGGCAAGCCTCAATGCTGGAATTGTGATATCGACGTAGGATGCGTTCAAATGCCCTCCATTTGAACGCTCGCTCATGGAAATCTCCGCGAAGGCAAGCTCCTCGTAGGTCCAACGAGGATAGGAAAAGTTGTACTGAAGAATGTATTCGGCAGTAAGCATGCCATCAACTTCTTTGCTTTCATCCATCAATCTTTGGGGCCCGGCAATAGTTCTCGGGTCAGGAAATCCCCCAACACGGGTAAAGTTGACCTCGTTGTAGGAAGGAACTTCGACCACGGAATATAGACCGCTGGTGATGATTGTCAAGAAAAATGCTGCAGTTGTAGCTAGTGTGGTCGCTTGAACTGCAAAATGGCGCGAACTGATGGATCGCAACGTGTTGTTTAGCCCCAATGAGTCTAGATAACTCAAATTCATGGACCGTTCAAACAAGGCCCCTTTGGGTTTAGTGAGAGGTGCGTATGGAGCAAGGCATCTGATGTTGAAATCCAAACTCCCAAAAAATAGCCTTATTCCGACCATTGCTAGGGCGGGAATTATTGTCCACAAATAATGCATGTACTCATTTCCTGATGATGCATCTCCTAGTCCGTCTTTAGTCTGCGAAACTCGCAAAAGTGCTTCTAGCACCGCGATTGCCGAGAGAACAAGAGTGAATATTATTATGCGACCAATCATCCCAGGGAAGGGTTTCCATGTGATATACTCGGAGCCAAAATTGAAATCAAATTTTGATTCTCGGCGGCCATCCTCGGTGGTTTCAATAGATGTACCTTTGGGGGTGGACTGTAAGTAATATTTTTGACCCACAAGATGACTCTGGAGATTCTTGTGAGATACCACACCAGTCCCACGAAGAGATTCTCGAAATGTCGCGCTATTTGCTGTTATCGCCGCGATCGAGGAAACATTATTTGGGCTCCACGTAGTTATCGACGTGCCTGGTATGAGGATGGCCATGGAAATGGCCAAAGATACTGCAAGTGCTAAGCATACTTCCATTCCACGGAGAGGTAGCTCCATCATCATCACCCGATTCTCAGAAACAATTGCTAGACCTGTTGTCGCTGACTGCTTTCTTTGAACGAGTCCCATGTGCATCAACAAGGCAGTAATTGCACGATAGAACGCTTTGCCAGAACTCTCCAGAACGCCATCTTGCCAAAGCGTTGGAACAGTGATATTTTCTCCAATGAGATGTAGTCCAAGGTTAAAGCCTGTGTCGATATGCGAGTAGTATGAAAACGGGATATAGTCTTCAACTGGTCTGAAGCCCGTGGTAGCAGTGGAATTGTCAATGATGAACTTTGCAATATCTCCTGCCGTTATTCCTGGGATGTTGGCATCCTCTGATCCGACTTTTTGAATGCGAGCACCAGATGACAATTCAGTTGCATTCGATTCGGCTTTTAGCTTGAGAAGTGAAAGAGTCGGTTTGCAAATCATCGAGATTGTTCTGTTAAGTCCTATGTATGTTTTTTTCCAACCAGTCTGATGATGAGTGTCGTTAACATGATCGGCGGGAGTTGCGATAGACGTGACATTTATTTGATATGGCTGGGCCATTGTCAACACAATACGATAGCCATCTGAGCCGTCAATGTTTTCGCATTGCCCTCCTTGGAAGAACGCGCTTTGCGTCACATCGACCGATATGAGGCTTATGTTGGCAATTTCACAAGAAGACGTGAAGATGTCGACATCGAAATTGGTTGCTACTCGCCCGGTTTCATTCGTGGTCACGTAGTTTAGGGCCCTTATATCTAGACTAGCATCTTCGCAATTGAATTCAGCCATTAATCCGTGGATCGGGGCAGTCACTATCGCATTTGAGGGGAGGCTGGGGGCTGAAAATTCTTGAAATGTAAGGTTCTCGGTTGTCCCCAAGGGGTATGTAACATTTTCAAAGAGTATGCCGTTAAGAATATCGTATGGTTGGGAGCCAACAGTATCGATTTCGGAATTCTTTGTGCTGAAGGTATCATGGATGTTGATGGGTATATTATGTTTTTGAATTTGAGCTTCTTGGAGTGAGAATAAACTTGTCGAGAAGATTATAAGAAGTTGTAGTAGCAAGGAACATGAGGTCGCTGAGGCGACTGCAAAATGTTTGTTCTTCAAGGCTTTCCAGATCACCACTGGCTGCATGTCCGAAATGTAATCTAGCAGTACACTTTTGTCTGCTGGTTGAGGGCTGTCATGCAGTGCCTGCCAGGGAGCACTTTGCTTCGTCTGGAATTCGACCCGTGACCAGAGAGTGGTGATGACAGTGAGTATAGCGGTCGGTCCGTAGGTCCAAAAGTAATGGCGATCCTGTGTGGAAATAGCGATCCCATTGCGAGCTTCGGATGATTGATATATTACTTCGAGGGCGGCGATAATTGCAGCGAATATGATAATAAAAAGAATCAAAATTCGTTTTCGTAGGTAAGAAGGTCGCCAGCCGGAAGTTTGTGAGGTAGTCGTATGACTTTTCAAACGTAGATTCAAGAATTGAGATAACATGGCGCCTTTCAAGCCATTCCGAGTCTATATCATTGATGCAATGCCGTATAGACAGACCGGGCGAGGCCAAGCGAGTGAGTCGGCGATATCTGGTAGGAAGCTGGATAGCTGGAATCCATTCAAAAGGGGGCTGCATCTATATGGGATTTTCAAAATCTTAATAGACGCTGGGCGGATTTTCGACTATGCTAGATGTTAACCGCCGGCCCCCTCGCCAACAACGCCAGTTATGCACCTAGTGGGGAAGTGAAACGACGAGCGCATCGACAGACTGGATCAGGGCGCTTAGAAGTGCTAGGGCATATCTTCCGCCACTTATATAATATGCCTCTGAGCTTTAAGTCCGCAAACGGGAGCCATTTACACGGGGAGCTGGACCAAAATAACTCCATATGTGATTGACGTTGCACGAGAACGGGTCGGCGCTTAGAAGATGGAGCTGCGAACTGCTGGTATCTTGGCGGTAAACCAGTCCAATTCATGATTTTTAGTGATGCTGAATTCCAAGAAATGGATCATGATGAGCTGAGGTACTGCATATTCAAGGGGAGGTATGAATATGGGCCTGTTAGCAATTGGTAAGAGTTGTATAGTTAACTAGTTCAATTCTGCCTCGTCCTTAAGGCATCAGAAAGCCAAAAGTGGGGTAAAGTGGATGACATAATGTGGCCCGTGCGGGCCATTAACGTGACTAGGCCGTCCCAATGGGGGAACGAGGGCTAGGGCTTGCCGCACCCACGACCCGCAGCTTCAGTAAGCGAAAAAATCCACAGGTGAAGCCCAGTTGGGAAACATTTGGTCTTCAACCTCATCATCGACATCGACCGACAACAATGGCGTCTCGTCCCACCGTTTCCATCGCCACGGCTGAGGGCAAGGCCTCCGGGGCCACCCAGGCTCTGCCCTCCGTTTTTCTCCGCGCCCATCCGTTCGGACATTGTCCAGTACGCCAACCCGCATATTTGAAGGTCTCTTTGGAGGTGGAAATGCTGACGAAAACTCTCCCTACAGGCAGGTGCACGCCGGTATGGCCAAGAACAAGCGCCAGCCCTATGCCGTGAGCGAGAAGGCCGGCGAGCAGACCTCTGCTGAGTCCTGGGGTACCGGTACGTGGAGATCTTGAAATTTTTCGACCTTCGACTTGAAATGGAGACTTTTCAAGATGGGACGATCCCATTGAGGAAGAAGGATTTTCATGTCGCAAGGACTCTTCAATTGATATGACGGATCACTAACGAGATCGTTTTGATATTCAATAGGTCGTGCTGTCGCCCGTATCCCCCGTGTCTCTGGTGGTGGTACTCACCGTGCCGGTCAGGCTGCCTTCGGTAACCAGTGCCGTTCCGGTCGTATGTTCGCCCCTACCAAGGTCTGGCGCAAGTGGCACCAGAAGATCAACCTGAACCAGAAGCGCTTCGCTACCGCCTCTGCTCTGGCTGCCTCTTCCGTCCCCGCTCTTCTGTTCGCCCGTGGCCACCGCGTCGCCAAGGTCCCCGAGGTTCCCCTCGTTGTTGAGTCCAAGACCTTCGGTGGTGCTCTGACCAAGACCAAGGCCGCCATCGCCCTCCTCCAGGCCATCGGTGCCGGTGACGAGCTCGTCAAGGTCCAGAAGTCCAAGAAGCTCCGTGCTGGTAAGGGTAAGCTCCGTAACCGCCGCTTCCGCCAGCGCCGCGGTCCTCTGGTTGTCTACAACCCCGAGGTCGACGGCAAGGAGCTCGTCAAGGCTTTCCGCAACATCCCCGGTGTTGAGACCTCCTCCGTCTTCGCCCTGAACCTCCTCCAGCTCGCCCCCGGTGGTCACGTCGGTCGTTTCCTCGTCTGGACCTCCTCCGCCTTCGAGGCCCTCGACAAGGTCTACGGTTCCACCACCACCCCCTCGGCCCTCAAGAAGGACTTCCTCCTCCCCTCCAACAGCGTTGCCAACGCCGATCTGGCCCGCCTCATCAACTCTTCTGAAATCCAGTCCGTCCTCCGCGCTCCCAAGGGCGAGGCCCGCACCAAGCGTGGTGTTGTCCAGAAGAAGAACCCTCTCCGCAACAAGCAGGTCATGCTCCGTCTCAACCCCTACGCCGCTGCCTACTCCAAGCAGAAGCTCGGCCAGACCAAGGTTGAGGAGGGCAAGCCTACTCGTGCCGGTGATGCCTTCAACCACGTTCTGTCCCAGGAGTAAGCGCATGCTTGCATGGACTTCTCTGATACGAATTTGTTGAACGATGAAAAATGGTAGTTTACAGAGCAAAAATGAATCAATGCGTTTTTTGCAATACCCAAAGGTCTCGGAGTATAATATGATCGGTTTATTATCACACAGTATTCTCTTGTAGGTTTCTAGTGGTAAGTCGATCCTAGTAGTACTACGTAGTTCAGATATTTCACCTTGAAGTTGCTCTAGAGGTATCTGCAGACCATGATCTTCCGATGTTCATATCCATTGGCAGTCAATACTAACAGTGGGACCTTGTTCCATGAAAAATTCGCAAAATAGTGCGTGGTATTTTGCGGGCCCATTGCGTCACAGTTCGAGGCCAGGAAATATGTGCAATGGATTTTGGGGGAAGCATTGCTAGTCAGAAACCAAATAGAGAATCATCTTCTTTGAGTCCAGTACTTTTCATTCCATTACCTAGGTAATTGATGATAATCGTCATCTATTTGAGTTCTGTCATGAAGCAATCCAAGATATTTCGGGTTGTCATGATCTTCAATATAACATGTGACACCCGAAAGCTTAGGAGTGATATCGAGTTTAATTTTGGTTATTCTCCGAGAAAACTACTAGTACCAACTTTATGTTCGAATTATGATTTCAAAGGTCCTCAAAAGTACCATCACCTGCCAGTGGAAATTGGCATGTTTGGCATCAACTCGCTGGCTACAACCAGTACCTAGGTAGGTACCACTTAGGTCCCTGTACAGATATATATTTGGCCACTACTAGTAAACCTCCAAATCCTGGAGTTTCAAGTTCCATCTAAGGTCCAAGTTAGAATTCTCCAGGGCTTCAATTAAAAGTTGGCCAATTATAGACACCACCAGGCCCTGGTGCCCAGGCAAGTCTTCAAGTTTCAACCTTGGAATCCATTACCCCCCAGGAATTGCCCTTTTGCCAGCTCCGGAGAGTTCAACACTACCAGGTACTACTAGTATTCACTGCATAAATGAATGCCACTTACTTTGGTACCCAACATAGCTCCTTGCCAGTGCAAGTTGTTTACTTCTTGCAAGCACTAGTTCTTAGTAGCGCGTGTCAGGCCTGTCGATCACATGTCCGCAATGCCAATGCCTGCCTAGGCAGTGCAGAGTTTTTCCGTATACCGACCGTTGAAGACAAGCAATGATTCACCGATTGTGGCAGTGCTATTAAGAGCAACATGAAACAGCGCCCGACACTAATAAAAATTTGAACCAGCGTACCCCGTCCCTGTACTCCGTAGCGCCGTCCTGAACCGGGTCCCATGACATTAGCGAACCCCAGTACAAGCCCGCCTGACGACCTGTCACCAAGGATGATCCCGGTTCATTACGGCGATCATAATCACCTGGGCACCAAGTGCAAGCTTGCTCAAGAGTTCATTACTGGAACCACCCTCAACTTGAAACGCGGAGAAATAGGGAAGTCCTTCCTACCGTAAGTTTCCTGGGCATTGGCATCGCAAGGCTCCGATCCATCCACCATTCTCATGTCGTACATATGTACGGAGTACGGATACACCTTAGCTTGATGCAGTTCACATGTTAGCTGAGGTCCGCCTTCTAGAAGCTCAATCTATTAGACTTTCATCGGCAGGCGCCGGATCCCAGAACCCTGGAGGCCCGTAGGCCCGTCATTCCAAGGGCCAAAAGGACAACAAAGGTACAGTGCACGCGAAGAGGTCCCAGATTTCGCGACCAGGGCCCGTGTCCGCGTCCGCGTCCGTGTCAATCGCTCTCAAGCCGTCTCCAAAGGCTCTGTGAGTTGCGATGAGCAATCGGCATCGGGCAATCGACAGCACAGACGCGGACGAACGTCGAGATTTGGACTAGGCGAGCGGGTGAAGAGGAGTGGCATCCAAGCGAAGCTCGAGCGAGTGGAGAGGCGAAGATCCACGGACGTGCAACGCGGGCGCCAAGGGCACCATCAGGGTCCGCGGCTGATAGTGTCGCGCTCTGAGGGGAGTGATGGTCGAACCAAGTGGAGATGATGTACGTCAGGCCCGACGGTGCGCACTTGCCGTATCGTGTAAGGTGGAAAAGTAATTGCACTTCAAGCGAGGCGATAGTCGGAGACCAAAGGGGAATCATGAACTTTCTCCTGGATTGAGTTTTCTTCATGCGCAATGACAACACGAAAAACACGATCTCATCGTGTTCAAGTTCCACCTTAGGCAAATACATTGTTAAACTTTTTTTTACACTACGACTACTACGACTAGACCGGAGCTCCGAGGCTTTTTTTGCGTTGGAATTAATGGAATGAATTGAATTAATTGGATGAGGTTAGATTTTACTCCCCTCCCTTCCTTTCCGTGAAGCTTCCAGACAGCCGCAGTTACAGTGGATCCTCTTCACTAGCGAGCCCACTATGAGTTAAAATGTACGGGAGCCGAACGGGCAGATGCAACCTGAACTGAAAACCAGGACTAACCGAGATCCTTCCAAGGGGATAGCGTGGTCAATCTTGCAGTCTCCCCAGGTTCAGACCAAAAGACGGGAGATGAATCAATCCGCGAAGGCTGGATCGGACCCGAATAAATTTCCGATGCTGCGTTTCCACGTTCACGAGACATCCCCTGCTACATGTATTGACACGATTCTCCAAGGGTAAGCATAATTGCGGTCGGACGTAAAAGGAACAGCTGGCACGAGCACCGGAAGGATCAGCCGAACGATAATACAACCCTGTATATTCTGTTATATAACACCCTGTACGAGACTCCGTAGATTGGACTAGTTAATTAAGGGCATGTACAATGATACATAGTTATTATTTAGTCATAGCCGATGAATATTTAATCCACACTTTATGGAGGAAATTGAATCCACCCGTTAGGGAACGGAGCTCCGTTCGTCGATCCCAGAAGAGCTGTCACTAAGTATAGACCTGCCAGACCGCGGTGTGCATGTCTCAGCCAACAACAATTGGTTCAGGGGGAGGAAGGGGAAGGAAACAGGGCACGTTATCGGGAACACAGTCGGCGCTACTTTAGGAGCTTGCGGAGTAAAAAGAGAGCACAGGAGATGCAAAACATAACATCTCTTTTTTATCCAGCATTGCAGTAACTAGTAAAATGCAGAGTCGTAGTACAGCTTGCTCTAAGCAGAGGGGCGTGCCACGATGGCCCAGGAACGTGCCATATTCCAAGGTTTACATGGAGATTTTCGGTGTACAGAAATCCACTGTAAACCTATATTTTGGGCTCAAGTAATACCAGCCGCTCCACTTTGACTCCATCAGATTATATTGCAGCATTGTCCTAAACTCTTAGCACTGCATGGATGGCGTGTCCTTTTTCGCTGTATCACATTGCCATCTGCCGAGTGCATATGACAAGGATTCAATGGTGCCTGAGAAGCCAGAAAACCTAATTACCCGAAGGAGTGCAACCCGACGCTGCGCGGGCGTTCCACAGTTACCATCTGATACATATGTACTATGGAATACATAGCAGGATGATCCTGGTGCCAAAAACGGGGCCAGGATTTCAGTATCTCTCCCAGACACTTTGACCCCCGTTCTATCGTTCCCTTTTCTACTATCTTTCTTCTCCCTCACCCGGCAGTTGATAGCCACATCGTCCGGAATCCCTACTCCGCAACGTCGCAATCGGTATTTGTTCGGAGGAAAATTGGGTCCGAAGGGGTGAATTGGCCAATGACGTGATCTTACCCTAAACCGTCCTCAGCGAGGCTTGCGAGTTTTCTCGGGTGGGAATACCAGATGGAGGCCAGGAGAAATGCCGGTTGGGCGTTTGGCGTCGCGGATCTCATTGTTCTAGGTGGGCTCTAGCGACATATCAAGACCCGAAGACCAGGATCATCCGTATTATTTCACCGGTGTATGGAGTATGGATTTAGGTATTCGATATACCGATTTCAAGATCTCTTGCTCAATATTCATGGATCTCAAGAAAAAATCAAAACCAGATTTCAGGGGGTTGGGTGCTAAGCTAGACTGAACTTATTTGCAGGGCGCAATAGTACGGAGTGTATACGGGATATGTAGAACGAAGCTGCACCAGGGGCTGCAATCACAGGGGATCCCAAATGACGGGTTGCAGATCAGATCGCCATACTTTTGAGACACGATACGTGGTCAACTCCGGAGTGCATCGCCGTTGGAGTAAAGTGGTCGAGTGGGCAGGGTGGAGCGAAGCCTCCAGACGGGCCCATTGGGTAGCACGTCGTTTGGAAAGACCAGGGCTCCCTGTCGCTGCCTCGGGCGATATTGGAGTACATACATGAGATTATTGCTAGAAATGGTCAGCAATGCAAATTAATGAAGCATAGAATGGGGAAGTCGGGGCAGGTCAGGACTCCGTAGGAGCTAGTGGGAGCTGGAGAATTGGTAAACTCCTAAATTGCATTTAGACTTTCTTGTTCTTCTTGGCCGTTGAAGCAATAACATTGAAATCTGAGGTTAGCTCATCGTGGGCGCCGAGCAGAATCTGCACATGCCGGGCTAGGCCTTTCGACCCCGAGGATCCGCCTCGATCACCTTTAAACCTTCCATGAAGATCAGAATAAGCAAAGAAATGACAAAATGAACCACAATGAGCACAGAATAAAAAGAGAGAAAAAACCCCCAAAAATCCACCGCGACTGATAATTAAGTGCAAATCAAACCCAAGGGGACACAGGTCTCGGCTTTGGCCCTCTATCCAGTAAGTCGGAGTTAGCGCACCGCGCGCATCAGGGAAGACCCGAACCATTTTGACTCTCAACCGAGGGTCTTGCGCAAAAATTGGAACCCATCGGAATCCACCCAGTCCACTCGTGCACCATACGATCCAGCGATCTTCACAGAGAGGCTGTCCAAAAGGGAGATAAGCCCTGCGGCCCCAGCACTGGATCCAGGAGGATTTGCCCGACTAGGCATCTAGTCGCCCGCGCCACCGGCCGAAGGCACCATTGACCCACTGGTGAGGGTATTCGCGGCCATCATCCCGGGCCCAAAACAAGCTGTCGTGTTGCTCCTCCACTGTAATTCATTGAGTTTCTTCAAGCCGATCGACAGACGGGCGCTTGAATCCGCCGTTGAAGACTATCTTACCCGCTGTAATTGCCCCGGGGAACTTAAAATAAAACCTTCGAGACAAGAGAGAGAGACAGAGGGAGAGCCCAAAAGGAGAGAGATCGAAACAATGGGTCAATGAGACAAGACAAAGACAAAAAAGAAAAGATGAATCAGGTTGTAATGGACCACATTCCGGATTTTTGGAACCACTGTTGGGCTGTTCAAGCTGCAGCTATTTTAACACGAGACTGCGCATGGAACAGAAGTGGTATCATAGGTTCGGTATAGCCACCTATATAGGCATATAACTAAAAAAAAGCCATGGATGTACACGCTCAATCATAGGCAATGGCTTGGTCATCCCCGTCCTGACCGGACATATTGATCTTGAAGGGCAAAGAAGGGTCGATCAGGGGCCGCCGAGAGGTGGAGGCTTTTTTTTTCTCAGCCCGCACCTCATGGATACACCGACTTCCTGCATCATGAATGAATGTGCTAGACGGAGGATGCACGATTAATATAAAGACGCAGTAAAAATTGGAGCCATACATGGGTCTCCGGACGAACCGGGGGGGCTTTCGCCGGTGGCTTCTTGTCCCACCCACGCCGAGTAAAGAATGGGCCTAGGTAACTCGAGAAAGTGGGCTTAATTTTTCTTTTCTTTTTCTTAATTTTTTTTCCCCTCTGGGCGCAACAAAAGGTAATTTGGAATTAAATAAAATTCCGTGATGGGCCAGCACTCCACTGCGTTATTTCTAACGGCATTGCGTTGCAAGTGCCGGCCCGGGGACACGATACCTCGGGAGGAACCACCAACATACTTTCATACATCTGGGATGTATGTAATGAATGGGCCTCCGGACGGATGATCGGAGGATCCCTTGTGCAGGACCGAAATGCCGAATCGATGATCGGATTGGACCGGTTGCTCCACTGGACAGCGCTGGCGTAGGTGACCTCAATTTTTCGATGGCCCTATGGAGGAGAGTCGATGGCCTCCGCCAATAGGCCCTGCTAGGCCTAACGAGAGCTGGTGGCGCTGTTAGGAGCCGCCTGCAGGTCAGAGGGATAGGCTAGAGGACACCATAAGCAAACGCAGAAGACGGGCGGGGGAGGAGAGGGGGGGCATGTCTCATCCTGAATTTTCCATGTGTCTTGGGTTGAGCCTTCGAGAATTTACTCGGACGGGGCGCACCCAGAAGAGTATAGATCGATCCCACTCTCTCGTCGATCGTATGGTTGTCAAGAGTCGGAATGGTAGTTAAACTAAATTCATGGAATTCCCGAGTAGTAGTATTTTGGGCGTAATCCATCGTCATCCCCGTATCTATGTACGGAGTACAGTACTCAAGAATACATACTGAGACTCTGGCCCTTTTCTGAAGTTGTGAGGTTGAACCCCTCCTCTGTCTCTTCTCACTCCCCTTTCGATTTGTTTCGCTTCGTGTTCGGTCCTTTTCCCTTTTTGGATTTCTTCTTCTTCCTTTTTGGATTTCAGTTTTCAACCCTTCTCCTTCATCCTTTTCTTTTTCTTTTTGGTGCAAACCTTTTGAGGCCCTGGCCCCTCCTCGTCATCTACCGAGGAATCCTGGTATCGCCCCAGTGTTTTTGTGCAGGGGGAGGGGATCCAGCTCGCATCCACCAGGGAGTGAACCGCCCTTCAAGGCTACTCGCGGGGCAAACCGCTCTTGGGATTTTCTTAGTTTATTTACATTTATCGTGGGGACGCTACTTTTAGCTATTTTCCCAGGATCCCTTGCAACCAACCAGTGGCAATCAGTGATTGCGACCAGGCTACTTTCCCTGTATAGTCAAGCCGTGTGCCACCATCGGCTTGCTGGATCGATCGTTCCGACTCCATTATCGTCGCTGGGCATACCTTTTATCTCGCGGTTCGCACACTCTGACTAGTATTGTCTTGGGGCTGTTGTGATCTTGGATCGTGGATCTACGTTTAGAGTCGTCCACCTGGCTCTTTTCGACTCTTCGGTCCTTAAGAGCACGCGAGCGTTGGAAGTCTGACCTGACACTCCTTTCTCGGTCTTCCTTTGAAGACAGTCTGTGAATAGTCCATTCATCCTCGCTCATTCGGACTGACTTCCGCGTCGTTCTTGGGAGGTCGACGATCGATTACGACTCGGCCGTCTAACCCTCGTCTCCATCCTCCTGGGGAACCGTCTCCTCGAAGCGCATGCAACTCACTGGGATCCTGCAGCCACCCTGGTATGCTGAATATGCACCCAAGACTCTGACTGTCAGGGCCGTTTGCGACATGCTGGTCTTTTGAACCTGTCTCAATTTCCTTCCGATTCAGTTCCACCGGATAGTACTTGCGACGGGGCGTAAAGCGCGTGCTGTAAGTGCCGAGGACTCAATCCGTTTAGCCACGGGAATTTCGAATCCTTCTGGACGCCAACCATATTGCCATTGGAATATTTGGTGATCTTTACGAAGTCTACAAGCAGATAAATTCTTCGTCTTCGCGATCATTGCTTCCATTACCCATCTAATTCAAACATTATACCCATCTGCATCTAATTGACATCCATCACCGTCCTGGAACGACAAGAAGCAAAAGTGGTGGGTGGGATATTTTATTTGCCTGTTCGTTTGCATACGTTTAATGATATTGAGTCCTCTTACTGATCATCTCCGATTGTTCTAGATCATTGCCATTATCCCTTCCTCTCTCTGTACGAGCATCGGACCTTCGGGAACCGTTTATCAACCGAGAGCAGTTTTCCACTTTCCACTTTCAAAATTCTGGAATATCTGAGTGCTCTTCTTCCATTACATTATCTGGAAGGATCAGTTTCATCAAAGTACAACTTGAAGCAGGCTAGCGCTGTTGTTACTGGTTGGGATTGTCATGTATTTGGTTGTCCACCGTGAAATCTAGCATCGCCCTACTTTCGATTCAATACTCGGCAATGTCTGGCTATTATGTTGGACCCTTCGGTCGTATGTTACCCGGCAAAGATGCGGCCTCTTCGGAGCAACCCATGGAGCGAGGAGCTAATCGGTCAGAACCCGGGGATAACAACCCTTACCAGCTTCCACCTCCACGACCAGCCACCCTACAATTTGGATCAGATCCATTCTTACGACAGCGCCAACAAACAGAATCACATGAACAAGGAAGAACACCGCCATCTACAGAAGCCCCTTCACAACAACTTCCATCGGTTAGGTCCCTCTTGACACCCGTCTCCGGCCCAACTTCACCACCTACATACCACCAGCCGTACAGTGCTCCTCCAACGCATATTGAACATCGCGATCAGGCCTATCCATTTCGTCAACATGAATCCAGCGTTGTTTCACCACTCGGTGGACAAGATAGACCCGGTCGCCCGGACTCTCTACCTCAGCCGTATACCCCGAGTCTACCGCCACTCTCTCAGGTAGCTATGGCAAGCCCGAGAGACATGATTCACCACGCATCTCGCAGCGATCCTCTATCGGCAACTATGCATAATCGACAATTGCCTCTTCATGCTCCTACTTTCCAGCATGAATCAACTCCCGCCGGCGAGCTTTCTTCTCCCGAGAGTGGTCGATCACAGGGAACTTCCACTTTGCCCCATGTGGTAGATGAAAAGTATATCGATGGTGAAGGCTTCTGCTTTGTATATGCGGATGGATCGCACGTCCCGAAAACCATCGATGGAATCCCAGTGAATGCTAATTGGGGTGTAACAAAGGCGGGCAAGCCAAGAAAGCGTCTTGCCCAAGCATGCCTCACCTGTCGCGAGAAGAAGATCAAGTGTCAACCGAATCTCCCGAAATGTGATCAGTGCCAAAAGTCTGGCCGCGAATGCAGATTTGAGAGCGCGTAAGTATTGCAGAGACATAATTAAACAGAATTAATGCTGACCTTGTTTTAGTCCGCGCGGAATCCGCTCTTTCAGGGGATCTCAGTCGACTGGGATGTCCGGAGGAGTTGACGGAGAGGATTTCTCTCCCGGTCCATCTGGACACTCAGAAGCCTCTCCTTCTATCTACAACATGGGAAGAGCCTCGGAGAGCGCTACCTCTCTCCCAGGGACAAGTGGGCATTCTCCAATTTCCGAGGGTGCTATAATTACTCCTGGCACCGAGGGCGCACACGAGACGGATGCAGAGAGAGTTTACCGAGCCCGAGGACATCGAATCCCGCGTCATTATTCAGAAGGTGATTCCGCAGCCCAGTCACCGAAGAAATTCGAATTCAATCGTCGGCAGAAATACGCGGAGATAATTGGGAATTTGCCGGACATAACCCCAGACGACCCACTCGCCGGCTACTATAACATCGATCCCTATGAGAGTGACCCAGAGATGACTCTTCATTATGTTGAATCATTTTTCTCGAATATTAACGACAGCCTATACCATATATTTCCCCATGCGCGTTTCATTCTTTGGCTGAGATCCTGCCACACGAAATCCAACGAGGACAAGATGTTACTCTATGCGATCCTAGCCCTGGGATCAATCTTTTCAGAGCGACCTGACAAGATTGGAGCACTAAGACAAAACTACCGAATCGCTCGCTTTGCAATCCAGAAAAACCAATACACGCTGTCTCTGCAGCTCGTGCAAAGCCATATCGTCATGAGCCTGTTGTACTACGCCACGGGATCCTTGTTTGGGTCTTGGGATTCAATTGGTGCTGCTACACGCGCGGTTTCTGGACTGCGATATAACATGGAATCTGGAGGAGTCGTCGTGGACCAGAATCATGCCTGTGACTTTGGATTACACCCACAAGCCTTGATGGAATGCCGCCGACGCACCTTCTGGGTGGCATTTATCTTAGACGTGAGCTTTCTTCGAAATAATGATGCAATTATGGAACGTACATGCTAAACCGTTTACAGCGAGTCTCCAGCCTCTTCTTGGAGGCATCCTCGACTTCTATCTCCTCGGAGTCCGTTCTGATCCGCCTACCATGCAGAGAAGAGATCTATGAAGCGCAACAATATGCGACGGCGCCATATTTCCAATCCATCCTCAACCAAGGCACCCTCTCCGTTGAGGATGATCGATCTTCATTAAGCACAATGGCCTATTTGATTCAGATCTTGTCCGTCTGGGGCGACGTGTCTCACCACATCTTCCGTTTGTCGCACACACCACCCGATAGGTACGCCCAGCTAGCCGAGGAGGTCCACACTTCCGCCATCCGGCAAACGGACGACTGGACGAAACGACTACCCGAACACCTCGTCTTCTCAGCGTCGAACCTGGAGGGAGCCTGTCAAACGAAGAAGACAGATGCCTTCGTTTCGATGCATATGTTTTATCACGCCACTTTGACAAAGCTCTACAGAAATGTCCGATATCAAAGTCTCCGATCAGACGTGCTGGCCGAGTACGTCCATCGAGCTCGATACCACGCTGTGGAGACATTGAGGATTGCAGTCGCTGCTCTCCAATACGCCAAAGAACTAGAGGCTTCGCAGAGTTCTGCCGAGTTTTCACCCAGAGGAATCTTCCTGAATCCTTTCTTGGGCCATGTGATTCTGTCCGCCGTGGATGTTCTAAGTGCAGCCGGATTGTTGGTTGATCTGCCCAATTGCGTTTCATTCATCAATGGTGCTCTCGAAATGGTCCATATGTTTGGTCGTAACTGGGACATCTCGCTGGATCTCGCAAACATCATCCAGAAGCGACTGAATTCGATGGCTGATTGCTTGAAGGACCGAGCGAGCTCTCAAGATAAGCTTTGCTTTACATTGGATGGCCCATCACTCGAGAAAAAAGTACACAAAGGCGCATCGAGCTCCTCAGGTATCCCTGATGACGATGTATTCTATGGAAGCATGCCGCGAGAAGCCCTTTTGCGCGCAATGAGGGTCGATGAAAACAGCATCTCAGAGAAGAACATTGTCTGGCTGAGAGATCGCTGAAAACGACCATAGCTTTCTTTCAGTTCATTCCATTGCAGAACCGAAATGAAATTTTGGATTCACCATTGTTATCTACTTCTGCTTAAATGGGTGGAGCCTTCTTGATTCCTTTTTTTATTACGTTTTTGGATGATATAAACATATGCATCCTATCTGCAAGTTCATTTCTACGTTCTATCAAGCTGGTAGGCGCTGTCGTTTTTCTACCTCGGAAAAGGCATGTTGGGAAAATCTCCGAACACAAAATTCGATTGGCTCCCTTGTTCTCACGACGTGATGGTATTGATGTCGACATTGGCGGTCCGTTTGTGATTACTGTATATTCTACTATTTCATCCTATCCGCACGACTTGGTTAAGTCCTAACAGGACCTAGCCCCTGTATTATAGCTATAGTATATGACTGAGCTTCGTTGGCTTTCTGAATTCATTGAATGCTTAATGCTTGCTGTCTATTTACATCAGAGAAAAACTGAAACTTCGCACTCCTGTCCGATTTACACTATGGAATGAATCTTCATACTGTTGAAATAGTAAAGGACCGAAATGCATCAATACATGTATTTTGATGAGGCAGAGAACTCATAAGTCCACCTGGGCACTGATTTCCTCATGCTCTGATCTGACCTGAGTTGTACAAACTGACCCAAAACAATTTGCCTTCGGATGGATCCATTAAGGTCGCATAATGAGTGTCCTCATTCACAATTGGGTACGTGGTGAGCCAGCTAAGGGCTTCCTGGGGCGTGATAGCCTTATCTGAACGATCAGTATCCCCACGTAGCTCGCTAATTTCCAAATCAACTCGCTGTTGCCTTTCCACTGCCTTTTGTCTGAGGCGTAGGGACGAGCGAACTCCTGAATGAGATGTATTCGTATCCTTGGGACTCTCATTAACAAGTAGCTCTCTTGTTTGATCTCTCCGAACTCTATCCCGCTTATTCTGCTTCATCTTATGATCCCATTTTTTCTGCATACACGCACGCCTTTCTTTGCTGTCTTCAATCAACTCCTCCATAGAGAGTGGTTCCTCCGAGACCAGGGCGAGTCTACTTTGGCCGCTTTCCATGTTTTCTGCTGCGTCCTGCGATGGTATTGTGGCTGAATCCTGGTCATTGTTCGTGACAATGATGAAGTATGGATCGAAACGGGTGATTGCCGTCCTGACATCCTTTTCCATTGTCACCGTCCTTTGCCCATCACTGAAGATAAGATAGGCCGCGGTAGTGGGTTGACTGGGAATATCATCCATGATATTATACAAAGTCGGCAATTTCCCGCCCCATCCTAGGCGTTTTGAATTTGGCGAAGACGGGATGAGACATTGTCGCAGAAGCGAAGAGATAGACGGGCGTCGACCAAGAAGAACGAGAAGATGGTTGAGGTAGAAAGGGAAATTTTTCGTCGTATCATGAACTGGGCGGAAATTGAGCGACATGCTCAGGTCTTTCCTCACCCCGGTGAGAACACCAACAAAGCCGACATAGCCTACAGTTGTCGCGAGTACTTTCCCGGGGTGGTCGTCACGGATGAAATCCAGCTGGACTATTAGAGGGCGAAGTTTCTCCATGCCCCAATCCAGGGTCCGGAAATGAAGCATCCTGGTCTCGGATCCATGCTTTGTGCGCAGTCCTCCACTCGTGCACCCCATGAGCAGATCCAGGACTGTATTGAAGCATATTAGGAGGTAAAGGTCAATATCCGTGGCACGACTGATTCCCCGCAGTTCCTCGGTCTCTTCGCTCGTGGAGAGTCTGCGTAAGAAGGTACGAGCCAATCGGTGAACCAATCCCAGTGGGATCTTGGGGGATAGGGACGTGACCAACTCGTCAAATGTGCCTCGTAGCGATCGCATTGGATCTCGGTAGAGTTGTGCCAGTTCTACATAACGCTCGGCTGGGGGTAGTGAGAGATTGATCTGATGGACTGGAGGTGGTTGATGTAGCCAGTCAAATGTGGCATCCTCGTCCTCTTCGGCTTCAAATTTGGGTGGCATCTCGTGGGGGTTCAAGTTGGTGTCTTTCAAGTTAGTGTGAGGGACAAGTAAGTAGGGGGGGAGGGGGGGGGGGGCAGCCTAGAGGACCGTGACTGAAGCTGACGAGGCTGAGGCTCTGCAGGCACCCTTCAAGTTCAACCTTGGAAATGTTATGGCCACCCTTCCCCGGAGTCTTGGCAAATGTTATGATGGACCACATACTTTGTATAAATAGTGTATAGACATGTTCTAGGTATTTATTATTTAGTTATTCAGTGCCCTGGTGCTCATAGACCTTTCCAGTGAGGAGGAAAATAAGATGAAAAAAAGCAAATTGGCCTGACCGGGATACAGGGATTTCGTACAGTCAATGCAGATCATATTGCCGAGGCACGAATCATACTGTAAACTTGAATTTTATAACCTGCCCAGGGGACGACTAGTTCAATACGTACTAGTATTATGAGGTAAGTAATGGCGTCCATACTAGACCATTCCTAGGTTTGCATGCTAACACCACCCTGTTTACTTGTCCTAGTTGACTATGCACGTATGCCACAGGCTGATCCCCACAGCTGTACTAGGGTTGGTACTGACCCCGGGAGCCAGTGTATTTTGCTTTCGGTATCAGTAGAGATAACATCCTAGTAATACTAGTACTACTATATTACTGAGGCTTATTCCTCTTTATGTCCACTAAATATTATATCAAATTATTAATATGGCCTGCACTATAGTAGTTAGTATTTGCAAATTAGGTGTTAGTATAAAAAGGTACTAGCCGTACCGTGTCATCCCATCCCTTTGCGGGGCCGACGGAGCGCGGAAAGTTTCTCCGAATCTCAACCTCCAACATCCTTTGTTGCACCACACTCCCTCGACAAACCCTAGAGATCATGGCCCTCCCTTACACCTAGTGATTTTCATCCAGTGTCCAGCGAGCTCGAAATGGCCTCTACCTTCGACCGGACCGCCACCGTGGCCGACCACGACTCGGGCTCTGACCGCGACGATGACGGACTTGACGGAGACTACAGCATGGTCGCAGATGCAGACTACCCAAACACGGTCGACTACTATACTCTTCTGGGCCTTTCCTCTCATCCTCCCCCGACCGACGCCGAGATCCGTTCCGCCTACCGTAGCTTGACTCTCAGTTTCCATCCGGATAAACAACCTCCGCACCTTCGCGAGGCAGCCCGGCGGCACTTCAACCAAATCCAAGAGGCCTATGATGTGCTTATCGACTCGCAAAAGCGCACGGTCTATGACATGATGGGTGCAGAGGGAGTAAAACGGGAGTGGGGACATTTCGGTGCTATGGGTCTTCACGGCGAAGCTGCGAATCAAGATGTTGGCGTTAAGACTATGTCTTCGGACCAATTTCGGCGGTGGTTTTTGAAAACCATGAAGAAGCGGGAGCGGAAGGCTGTGGAGAGCCTCGTGGAAAGCCATGTATGTGCTGAGCGTGGAGTTTCTTCCTTCATTCTCCTTCTCATGTAGACTATTGCTGACCATTCGCGACATTGGATATCTTAGGGCACACTAACCATTGGAATCGATGCATCGGAAACAATCACGGTAGACGATGACGACGATGTAACCTTCCATATACCCTCGCCGAAACTCTCCACGTTTGGGGTGAATTACAGTTTCAATACACCATTACCACTTCCAGACTTCTTCAAGGCAACGAACAACGACTCTGAAGATAAGGACGCCTCTACAGAAGAGCCAGATTCAGAAGACGATGATGATGATCTCGTACAGCTCACGATAAATGCTGGTGTCCGGGGCAATATAAAAGAACGCAAGCAGCGATTGACCATTTCTTATGACGACGGCACGGAGGAGGAGGATCTTGAGGTACCTATTGCTCCGATCTTAGTGGGAAACGCACTTGAGCTTGGTGCCACAGTGACGCCCAACTTCAAGGGCCTTCTCGGCACCCGCGGTGTCTGGAATCGATTCCCTTTCTCGTTCTTAAAGGATTCAAGCGTCTCGCTCGGTGCGCTTCTACTTCCAACCCCAGCCCTTACGACTACCGTTACTCGGGCCTACCAACCAATCTCAGGCGTGAAGCCGTTCAATGTGGCTGCCACTAGTACCATCCAACGATCCCTTGCTGAAAGTCCGCCGGCTTTCCAGATACAGGCGACAAAGCAAATAGCCGAAAGAAAGGTTGCAGTGCTCACCTGGAACAGCGGACTTTTACAATGGCCCGGTTTCCTCACTGAAACTTTCCCTTCACTTGGAATGAGCGCCGAAGCCTTTTATGCTTCGATGGAAAACCCTAGTCAACTTCAAATAGCTCTGATGTCAGTAGCAAAGCCTAAGCCTGCGCAAACTGGAGGTGATGAGGAGGGTGACTATGACGACGAAACGCAAAATCTGGAAAATGCGGATATTGATCGCTCTGCAGAAGCATGGAACACATCCCTCACGCTTTCTCCAGGCGGAGGTGGCATCGCTCTTACCTATTCAAGGAATTTATTCTCGGGAAAGCCAATGGATGATCCCGTGAGGACTGAGTGGAACTCTGAAGGCTACCTACCAATGGCAAAGATGGATGAAGCACGCGCGGTCAAGGTTCAAGTTTCGAGTATCATCGGACTCGACGGCTCTATTCAGTGGACCGTGAAGGGTACCCGGCTATTTGGAGAAAATACCAGAGTTGGGCTGGGTATGGGTATTTCGGCGAACAATATCGCAATGACCGTTCACTGGAAACGTCTTGGCCAGCGCATCAATCTTCCGGTTATTCTGATGCCTCACCGTCATCACGATGCTGCAGTATTGGCCACGGCCATCCCCTGGGTGACATACTGTGCTATTGAATTTGGATATGTTCGCCCACGCGAACGAAAGAAGCGTCGACAGGCAGTTGCCCGTCGCCATAAGGAGCTGAATAAGCTCATTCCTAAGAAACGCGCCGAAAGCGAGCAAGCTATCGAGCTGATGCTGGACCAAGTACAGCGACGACAAGCACGGGAGGAATATCACGGCGGCTTGGTTGTTACAAAGGCAGAATATGGTTACTACCCTTCGCAAAGCAAGAAACCCAAGAGTGGATTCACGGAACCTCGAGTTATGGACGCAACCATCCCCGTGGCGGCACTGGTATACGGGGGTCAGTTGGTGATTCCGAAGGAACGGGTGAAGGTAAGGCAAATTCCTAGCATACAAGGTGAAGTTTTATGAGGTTGCTGACATGTTGATTGGCAGTTCCAAACTCTAGGATTCTATGATCCAGCACCGCTACTGCCGAAACGCTTGAAGATTTGGTACAAATTCCAGGGACAGGAGCATTTTGTCGAACTTGGCGACAAAGAGGGAACTGCCTGTCCTGTACGTACACACCTTATATCCAACTGAGTGTAAGGTAACATACACCTACCTTATCGGGCATCGATTTCATCCCAACATCTTTGGGTTCGTTGCTCTGTGTAATATTACTGCATGATTGTATCTTAAAGATGTCTACGAGCTGCACTGGATGAAATCAATCTTCTTCAATAAACATGATTCTTGAACCATTAAATTATCTTCTATATTATAATCCCTCTGAACATAGTAGTTTCAATTAGTAACTAACTAACTACGGTAGTTTAGTTACTACCAAAAGTCAAGATCGACAAAAGGCTTGGCATACGGCGACCGAAATCCGCCACCCGCGCTATTTTGCAAAAGCCAAGCGCATCTCTCCAGATTCTCCCCTCAACCAACCACCTTGACTTGGCAGCTCCTGTCCTGTTCTAGGTCTCATCATGGCTTCTCTCGCATCGGGACTATTCAAATCCCTCCCCAAGCCCAAATATACCGGCGAGGAAGAGGAGGTGCCACAACATGCGCAGCCCCGTGGCCCGCGTGTAGTGGGCGCCGACCAGCTCGACGAAACCCAAGTCGTCTTGCGGGTGAGCTCTATCTGTTTGGCCCTCTTTATTTGGATTGATAACTAATGAGACTTTACTAACGCAGAGAGTTGGACCCCCGCCTTACGGAAACCGCGCAGGATGGCGACCTCGAGCTCCCGAAGATTTTGGCGACGGCGGCGCGTTCCCTGAAATTCTAGTCGCCCAATACCCTCTCGACATGGGTCGAAAGGGAACCTCTTCGACCTCGAATGCGCTCGCGGTCCAGGTCGATGCCGAGGGCAAGGTAAAGTACGATGCCATTGCGCGCCGGGGACATGCCGACAACCGGGTTGTCCATGCGTCATTCAAGGATTTGATCCCACTGCGACAGCGAGTGGATATGGGAGAGATCTCGTTAGACCGCCCATCGGAGGAGGAAGTTGCAGCGCAGATGGAGAAAACCAAGAATGCCCTGGCCAGTCTTGTCGATGGAGCCGTTCAAGCCCAGAAACCGAAGAACGTGAAGGGCGGACGCCGGAACGAGCCCACGTTTGTGCGATATACGCCTGCGAACCAGATGGGAGATAACGACAAGAAGAACGACCGTATCATGAAGATTGTGGACCGACAGCAGGATCCGATGGAACCGCCTAAGTTCAAGCATAAGAAGATCCCCCGTGGCCCGCCATCTCCTCCACCCCCCGTCATGCACTCGCCGCCGAGAAAACTTACCGCCGAGGATCAAGAAGCGTGGAAGATCCCCCCGCCCGTGTCGAACTGGAAGAACCCGAAGGGTTATACCGTTCCCTTGGACAAGCGTCTGGCTGCCGATGGCCGTGGATTACAGGATGTGACTATCAACGACAAGTTCGCTCAGCTTGCAGAGTCCTTGTTCACCGCCGATCGCCACGCCCGAGAGGAAGTGCAGCTTCGTGCCCAGATGCAGCAGAAGCTTGCCGAGAAGGAGAAGGCCCAGAAGGAAGAGCATCTTCGACAATTGGCTCAAAAGGCGCGCCAGGAGCGTGCTGGTCCCAGCCGTCGCGATTCCGATGCCCGATCGCGATCGCGCTCGCGCAGTGCCAGTCGAAGCGCATCCCCTTACTCGTCAAGATCCGCCACCCCCGACCAAGACGAGCAAGCTGCCCGTGATCGTGAGCAGCAGCGCCGCGAGCGTCGCCAGGAGAACGAGCGACAACTCCGTCAGTCTCGGATGGGAACAGAGCGTCGCATACAGACTATGGCCCGCGAGCAGAACCGTGATATTTCTGAGAAGGTCGCTCTTGGATTGGCCAAGCCGACCCAAAGTTCCGAGTCTATGTGGGATTCGCGGTTGTTCAACCAAACCAGCGGTATGCATGCTGGATTCAACGAAGATAACCCTTACGACAAGCCGCTGTTTGCCGCGCAGGACGCCATCAACAGCATCTACCGTCCTCGGGCCCAGGCAGACGCCGACGATGAGGAGGCAGGCGAAGGCGAGATGAGCAAGATCCAAAAGACCAACCGCTTCGAGGTTCTTGGACGTGCTAAGGAAGGTTTCCGTGGTGCTGCTGATGCCGAAGAGCGTCAAGGCCCTGTACAGTTCGAGAAGGATACTGCGGATCCATTCGGCATTGACAGCATGATTGCTGATGTCACAGCTGGTCAGAAGCGCTACGGTATCCAAGAAGCAGAGCCTGATGACCGTGGCTCCAAACGTGCTAGGGTGGATGACGATTGATTGATTTGTTTAATATTCTGCAGTATATCAATGGTTCGGGCTGGATATGTGTGTTGGAAAGGATCTTTCATGCATTGCGGGCGTTCAAGTGTAATCTACACCATTGCCATTCAAAGGGCACCAAAAATGGAGACAACCTGCTATAGTACGAGTATTGAGTTTCTTCCAATGTTAAAAAAGTACCTCCAGTACTAACGTGTTTCATGGGTAATCCGGCCACCCAAAACACCATATTAAAAGCGATAAATTATAATTCGATATCTCAACAGCCATACCTTTTTTCGGTCTATATTTTATCAGATATTTCTATTGCAAGGTATAGAGCAATATATCTCAGTTTTAATTAATATTATTGATTTATTTATCAGATTACCATTAAATACACTGTAATTTGTGTATTTTGTCAAAAAGGAGATATTTCGCGAGATATATATATCCAGACTATTTTTTCCTTCGGTTTTTGTGACAAGGGTATGATAGAGGTTATAGAACTTCAATATTTAGCTTTGAATTACTATGGTTGTTGAGCTATCGAATTGTAATTTATCGCTTTTAATATGGTGTTTTGGGTGGCCGGATTACCCATGAAACACGTTAGTAGCCGACAGATGGACTATTACTAAACTCCTTGTCATTTCAAATAGATCAAAGCCATATCAACCTTTGAATACCTTGAACTCCACAATACTTCAGCATTGATTCTGAGGACAACGTTTGTTCTCCCTGCGAACAAAACGATAAGATGAACCAAGCATGTTACCCTGTAACTTAAAGCACCCATTGTCGCGGCCCGTAAGACGAGTGCAGTAGGATTGACATGGGCAATCATTGCCGGGGCTAGATATTAAAAAGTATTGCCCGAAATCGTATCCGTGAAGTTTAAAGGAGCCTCTTCCTGCCTCGTTCAGACATCTCGGGTTACTAAGGCTGACTGAAAGCCCGGGAGAACCAGCGCAGGAATCGTCGTCGTAGAATTGGGCCCATTTTCGCGTCGCATTTGTTGGTTGGCCTAAGGTTGCCCCGAAGAAGATGGTCATAGCTAGAAGTTCATAGGCAAGCATCCTGATATCTGATATGAGATGAAGACTTTTGGCCTTTGATGATATCACCATGCAGTATCAGTAAAATGTCTGTTTAAATCGATGCTACTAGTATACACCCGAGCCTACCTATGTCTTAGGTTATGTAAGTATTCTAGAGTGTAGAGAAGAGAAGTCGGCACTTTTATACCCTAGGGCTCAAGATTGTATGGGCTTAGATGCATTCCAAGGTTTGCACCGGGAAATTTTTCAATTGGGACAACACATGGCAATCGGCTATGTGTTTACGCATGGCCCAGAATACCCATACAATGCTCAGTGCCATCAGGTAGATTGAAATTACGATAATCGGGGGTGGGTGACGTGGAATAATGAACCGCTGCAGCTATCCGGACGGTGAGCATTTCCTTATGAGGGCATCCATATCCGAATAAGACATTGAATTTATGAAGCTGAAGTAGCGCAATCTCGTGATTAATGACCCGAAGATCATCCCCAATCATCTTGAACCGTAGCTACGTGTTTACCAAATGATACGCTTTCTAATAGCAAAGCGAATGGAAGTGATCAATTTTACTAACGGACAACTGAAGATCAAAGGTTTAAACAGGATGTAAATCTCAGGCAATGTCCACCTAGTTCTTTACCTCCATCTTGTTGGGTGACAGAAGATCCTCAAGCCACTTGTAAGAAACAGGCAGGCTGTTCGGGTATCCCATATGAACCATACCATCGAAGAAACGACCTTCCTTGGGACCACCGTGATTGAAAAGAACAAGGCAGTCTTCAATTGGGACAACTCCGTCATCAACACCCTGGATGTAAGTCAGTATGCCGATTTGAATGGTCAAAGTATCAACTCAGGGTAAACGCACGTTCAACAATAGCAGTCGGCAATTAGGCTGGTCCACAACGCCAGTCTCAACAAGTGAGAACTTCTTCTGCGCATTTTTCACAAAATCCTCCGTGCTCTCGTAGCCGTACTTCTCAGCCCAGCTATCTGTGATACTATCATAACGGTTAGGTCTAATTGAGGGGAAACAGAAGGAAGGAAACTCACGTAAACGGATATTCATGGTCATTGACCTTACGCAACCAATCCGGGTCCAAGAAATGGTGGCTACCAGGTCCATGAGCCATAGATCCAATGAGGCGGTCACGGTGTGTACAAGCAGCACGAATAGCATAGAAGCCACCGGCACTGAGTCCCCAGACCGCGACACGAGACATATCAAACTCAGACCGCGAAGCCATGTAGTCCAAAACACTGGACCACAAACGATCCGGAGACTCAGGGTCAGCAGGATCGGCGGGACAATCGGCTGTGCCGGGAATTTCGACAATAACAGTTGCCCAGCCGCGGTTGATGATCTCGTGCGTGCGCTGGCTGTTGTCGGGTCTGTAGCCGTCCAGTCCAGTCATGATCAGGATGACGGGGACCGGGCCCTCGCTCGCTTCATTCGGGAGACGGACGTAGATTGGGATCCGATTTCCATCTTTGCCGGTAGCGTGCTTGTGTGGGATGATTTCTTCCTTGATGATCGGGTTCCACAGCGATGCGGCTTTCAGGTATACGTCCTTCTGGCGGTCGAAGGCGACTCGCTTGATTGAAGACTCGGGGCGGCTGCTGGGGCTCACGTATGGGAAGCGCGAGATTCGGAGGACGACAGAGGCGCGACGGTAGAGATCGGATGCTTTGTCTGGATGGCCATTGTTGAGCGCTTCAACTGCTTGGGCCTCGAGCTTGGAGGCGACGGGGAGGAAAGCGTTTGTGTAGGCGTCGGAGAAGGCATCGTTGATATTTTCCTGGTTTAGTTTAGTCTGCGACTATTTCTTGTTAGGTTGTTGAATTTTGTATGAGACGTACGGCAATCAGCTTCTCAAAGATCGGCTCGAAATCCTCAAATGCGCCATCGTGAAATGGATAGATAGACTTTGAAGCCTATAGTAAATTAAGATTAGCACTATCTTTCGACCAAAAGTCGACTCCAAAGACGTACGACAAACTTCCACTTCGTCTCCCACAGGGCCTTAATAGATCCCTTATGAGGGTAAGTGGTTTCGAAACGATCTCCTAGAATCCACTGAGGCATGATGAATCTTTGGTGAGGTTGAATCGAGATTGTGGGATTCGAAGAGTTGTACAACAATAAGCGTTCTCGAGGGAAACACAGCAGAGGGCGTGCAACGCTCGAGGGTTGTATCCAGTATTTTAATCATATCTAATACGGCTATGGGAAGGGCTGGAAGCAGAGTACTCCGCATCAGGTCCATGGAGTGTGGTGTTTGTATCGATGAAAACAGTAGGTAGCCGAATAAGGTGGACCAGGCCGACCGATGTCAAACCGGGGCCAAGTCCCAGAATACGGCGAGCTACCATGTAAATGGATTTTTTGGGGGGGGTTTGCAAGAAAGAGGGCCTTGAAGCTATGCTGTTTGTTGAAATTGATTGGCTGGTAAGTTCCGGATGCGGGTAGATTCTAGTTATTGCAGAGGCAAGCCGTTCTTAACGACAAGGAGATGGCCTAGGAATGGCTCTTGAAGTGAAAGAAGCCGACGATAGGTATACAGATCCAATAGATGCGAAAATATTAGTCGTGCAATTTACTGCTATAGAAAAAGTTTGACCTTCGCTAGATCTTTTGTGGTGAAGCCTGTCGCTTGGCAAGGGGTGTGGAATGTGGTACCTGACTTGGATTGCCGTTTGCGGAATACCGGGTGTGTCGCCTGCATATCTACATCAAGGTAGCATTCAAGAGTCCAGAGCTAGAAATATTGGGTCACGATAGATTACAAGGAGAATAGAATAACGCCAACCCGTTTAAATCTCTTGGATTAGGATTAAAAGATACACAAAGTCAAGTAAAAATTAGGCAGACAAGAAGCTAATATACAACCTCTTTGAAAATGAGAGATGGAAAAATCTACTGCTCGCGTTCAAACTGACCCCAGTATTGGTAATCCTTAGGAAGGTCGGGGTAGGTGTCCTCAGGAGTCTTGATCTTGTGGCCACCCTCCTCAATGTAACCATTGTTGGTATGGGGGTTGGGCCAGGGACCCTTGTTATCCTCAGTGTGTCCCACAATAGGCTTACCGTCCGATCCATCACCAATCTGTCCGTGGGCATAATCGGTGCCTGCTTGTGGCCATGGTCCCGAGTCATCAGTCTCGGAAGCGTAGATAGGCTCGTCCTGTTGTTCAGGCTCAGGATAGTACTCAACAACAGGAACCGGCTCAGCAACAGGGACTGGCTCAGCAACAGGAATGGGCTGGGCCTGAGCTGGAGCGGGCTGTTGCTGAGGAGCGGGCTGTTGCTGAGGAGCTGGCTGAAGAGCCGCCGGCTTTGCAGGAGCCGGTTTGGGCGCAGGCTGCTCGGCAGTAGGCTTGGGTTTGGGAGCAAGCGGCTGGAAGGGAGGGGGGCCCTTGGGGTGAGTAGGCGTGGGAGCCGGGGGCTGGGTGTCAGGCTGCGCTGGGGGAGGAGCAGTGCTGGGCTTAGCCGGAGGGGGTGCAGCAGATGACAATACCGGGGCGGGCTTCCCACCCTCTGGGTACATAGCACCATTGTCGCCGGAAGTGACCTTTGTATGAGCACCAGCAAGATCAAGACCATGCTTTCCAGCTGCGTTGCCATTGCTGGGGTCAGGGTAGGCAGCACAGACGTCGTAGTGGCTCTTGGGGGGCGCTTTCTGGGACTGGGGGAATGTCTCGGGGGCCTCAATGATAGTAGCAGTCAGGCCAGCCTCGACATGCCATTCAACATGGCAGTGCAGAAGCCACACGCCAGGGTTGTCGGCGCGGAAGCGGATTACTGCGTGGCCATTGTTCTGTACCATAATGGTATCACGACGAACGGGGGTGTGGGAGATGTTTTGCCAGTAGCCGCCAGTAAAGAAACCACCATTAACATCAGAGCGCTGCACGACCTGGAACTGGTGGCCATGCAAATGCCATGGGTGCAGATTGTTATGGTGGTTGTTGATGACAATTTCCACAATCTCACCATACTGCACGACAAACGGGTTGACTTGTCCATACACTTCAGGATTAGATGAGAGATTCGATCCAATGGTGTTGGCCGTGTACAGAGTGGGGACGTCCTGGGGGATATAGGTTTTGTTATTGATGGTGAAGCGCTTCACACCATCGACCACGGTATCGGCAGTATTCAAGATAATTTGGTGGTGCATAGGTTGCAAAAGTCGCTGCTTGTCGGCAGGGACAAAGTCAAGGTCGTCAACAAATACAGATGGATCCAGTTGGTGAATATCCGGGGGAGGAGGCAAAGGCTTAGCCTCATCGTACACAAGCCAAGCAGTGGCATTAGGGTTGAAGCCAGCCGGGATAGGACGGTTCTCATAGAAGAACATCATGTTGATGTCCATGGTATCCCAAATAGCGAAGTTTTGGCTGGCATCTGGCTTGGTATGAATGAGTACACCCATGCGCTGGCCAGGAGCGACGCGCAGCATTTTATCGCCAGTAGGATAAGGGTCAACATATACACCATCGACCTCGACAACGGTCATCTCGTGGCCATCGATGACCCAAGCATGACCAGGCCAGTTTCCAAGACAAATGATGTGAACAAGATATGTCTTCCCAGGCACAACCTTGATCTTGGTGTTGGAAGAATCGTTGATGAGGGCAGAATCAGGAAGCGGTTCGTGTCCACCAGCGTTGGCGTTTTCTACGGACTGGTATTGGTTGAGCAGGTTAGGCATCTGCTCATGGTACCAGTCGCTCATAGTCAAAGTGATCTCCTCGTCGAAATGGAAAGGGGGTTTCGGGTCATGGACAATAAATGCCCCGCGGAATCCATCAGGGTACTGGCCCATGTTGTGCGAGTGATACCAGTAAGTTCCAGTTTGGTTAACCTATTCGTGTAATCAGCAACACTGCCTAGCTTTGCAATTGGATTATACTCACATCGAAGTGATACTGCATGTGCTGTCCGGGAGGAATAGGGCATTGGGTGACAGAGGTACTGCCGTCCATGATGCCGGTGCCATATTGGTGGAAGCCATGCCAGTGGATGCCGGTGGACTGGTTGCCCAGCCCGTTGTAAACATCGACAATCAATCTGTCTCCGACATCCACATCAACCTGGGGGCAGGGCCATTGGTTGTTGATACCGATCACAGGTCGCTCGAATCCGTCTGGGGAGGCATTGACCCAGGTGACGTTCCAGTCAAGATAGACGTCCTTGGCCGCTACCAACTTGGCGGCCAAGCCAGCCAAGAGAAGAACATTAAACTTGCCCATTGAGGCGGTTTATTTGACGAATGGCGATCGACTCCAATCCAGAGAGATAATTAAATCCTCTGAAGCGGGGGCCGACAGGTTAGTAGTTGGATCTTGACAGGAAATAGTAATAATGTAGTTGAAAAAGAAGAAGGAAAAAACGAAAGTGTCGACAAAAAAAGCGATCGACGGTCGGCTGCGTGTAGTTGAGGTGACTGAGGGCACGACATTGGGGAATTCCTTCCTTTAACAACGAGTGTACTGTAAGATCGATCTGCGCTAGGGGGCATTGTTTTGGGATCCAGTGTCCATTTTCATCCTTTCTGCAATGCCAATCCGGTGAACCCTTTCTCAGGGTTCAAACAAACAAAAGCATCAATAGGTAGTGCAAGTACTCCGACTTCAAGGGTTAGTACCTCTGCTCCTGGCCGAAGCATTCCGCCAGTGGGTTTCTAGAGGGCCGGCATGTATATGGCTGGCCGTCCTTGGCCACGGCCCGGCCAGCTCACGCAAGGGGCCACATGCCGAGTCGACAACCTCAGTAAAGCGTAAACAAATTGGAGATTAAAGCAACTTCACATGGCTCTTAATCCGGGATTGAAGTATATGACTGGATTAGTCTGATGTTTCAGGACTACTGTTGTCCAGTAACGGCACCTGGGCATGTTTTGTCCGATCTGGAAAGACTCGGACGAACTAGTAGTCAAAATCATCACGCGCAGGGACTGGGGGACTGGGGGACTGGACACCCGATCTGAGCGTGCTCTCTCCGCGACCAGCCTACTATGTATTAGGATAGTAGCCAATTATGATGAACAGGGCTGGGCATAGTAAAGTTTGTAAGCTGAGGTCATCGCGGCGATTCTAGCAACGCCTTTTTGATCGCATCAGCGGGGCAGACACAGACTCCCGAGGGGCGTTTGTCTGCCAGGTCCACTTGGGATGGTTGCCACGTCCAAGTCTCTTATCGGACTCGGTTTAGAGGACCAAGCGACCACTGGGGAGTTGGTGGATAGTGCGACGATCATATAGTTTGCCCCTCTTCGTCCAATTTGGGAGTTGTAGGCCGGGGGCGATGTGGGCCGACGAAAAATTGGGACACAAAGTTTAGATTGTAGTGGCAGCACAGTGGTTGTATGTCTATTATCTCATGTACCTCAGGCTGTCAGAATATACATGCAAACTTCAAGTTCAAGTTGAAGACATATTCCGAGTATAAGCGGGTGCATATCCGGTCGATCAATGGGACTCGAACGTGGGGCCGGGGAGCAGATTGGGGAATCAGCTACGCCTCATTGGCGAATGGGCACAGATCCCCGCAAAGATGATGCCCTGTGACAGCACGATGTAAGAAATGAAGGAACGAACAACCTCAGATGAAATTTCCAGGGGCTCCCCAGGGAGTTCAGGCACAGCTGCATGACACATTCGTCCGTGCGGGCCCGCGTTAGGCGCGGGGCCAGTCGATAAGCTGTGGAGAATGATGAGATAAAGCGGACGAGGTTGCATGAAGAGATTTGGTAACGATGGTGGCACACGATAAGGCATCAAAATGGAAGGGAAAGAGAGAGAAGTTGAGTTGGAAGTTGGTCGTGTGGATGGTTGGGTTGAGGTTGAGTGTGGGCGGGGAAGGAAAGGCTGACTCTCTTTGCTTCTTCTTCTTCTCTTCTACTCTTTTTCTCTCTTTGACATCGACTCACTCTACTCTTTTCCACTTTTTTAACACTTCTCTCCCCCACATCGAAGACTTGACTCATCCAATTTTAAAATACGGAATTCTCAAATTCAAGCATTTCTCCTGTTCCCTCTCTCGTGCTCGTCCTGGTGAATGGCGTTGACTCTGTCGCAATTACACCCGTGAACCATCACGTCAATGGCGTAATCGCCCTCTTGTCATTCAATGAGCCCGTCCAAAAGAAGATGAAAAAGCCCTGCAAAAAGCCCGATCCAATCTTGCAACTCTGACCAGAACGTGACCTGTTTTGACCCCGCCTTATCCCTCCCCCTTAACCCCCAGGAAACTTACACGACACTCTGAACTCTGGGGTCGAGGTCGAGGTCAAGGTCGACTCTGTATATCGCGATAACGTTGTTCTGCACACCACTTCCGACATCATCGCAGATCCGCCATACTTAGTGGAGCTCATCATGGATCAACCAATGACACTAATCGATGCTCAAGTGCATTTTCTGGTAAGGAAATAATCGAAACACGCAGTCACTGTTCCGTTCACTAATGAATATATTTCACTTCTTTCCAGGCGGAGCGTCTTGCACTGGTACACATTCCACTTGACCTATATCCCTACTTCCTCCAGTCGGTGTTGAGATTGGTCTTTGACGAACTCTCGCCCCTCGAGGAAACAAAGGATGAAGATGAATCCATTGAAAATGTAGAAACAACCTCGGAAGAAGGTTCCGGGTACAAGCCGCCCGCATTCTTGAACATATCCATCACCCCCGTGGAAGTATCTGTGATATGTCCTCGCCGCCTGGTTGAAAAATATTTTACACCCCTCAGACAGCAGCTGAGCGGATTAGATAAATCCCTCGATTCTCAGCTCGATGTCAGTGACAACGATTACATTGCCATGCAGGTCATCGGCCAGGGATTGGAGGCTGGGAAACGAGTTTTGGAGTTAACCAGCCCACTCGCTATGGCCGGAATGTATGTACTGGAAACCCCAGTTGAAGCGGGAATGAATTAGAACACTGGAACAAACCAACTAACACACCACCAGCTCCATCTTCTTCATTTCAACTTATTTCTCTGACTATATTATCGTCCCCCTGAACAGCAAAGGCAGCGTCATCGCCGCCCTGGAAAGCAGAGGCTTTCAGTTTCAAGACTCAACTGCCGCCTTTATGAGCCCCCCTAAGCCCGACATCCCCTCGAACAGAGCGCCATCCAAGTGACGCCACACCACCAGGAACCCCACCGCCATCCACATTATCAGAGCTCCAAACACGCACATTTGAAAACCTACGTAAACGCCAAATTACGCCTTATGTGGATGAAACCCTGCGTCTTGTGCAATGCGCAGCTCACCATCAATTCGGATATGGTAGCGAAGAAAGCTCCATGTCTATTCTTCGCGATGCCCTCACGACTGTCCTACTTGTCGACAGTCCACGCTTCCTCTCTCTTACCCAAGCATCCCTTGATCCAGCCGCATCCTTACTCCTAGAAAAACGACTCCTCCCTCGCTTCACAGAGCCCTCCAGTCCCTATAGAGACTATGAAGATGGCTCGGGCCTTTTACTTGGCTCAAAAGAAGACTACCTTATTCCCATTATGCTTGACCTCCGCGATTTACCTCTCGAAGCCTCAGGTATCGTATGCGGTGTGGCGGGACGACTCGCCGAGGCAGCCGAAACGATACCCCTTTATAAGGACGTCGAGCCAAGCCTTGGGAGTAGTGGTGACAGCAGTACCGTTGGGTCTGTGCCCGCACTTTTTGATTCATTTGGGGCTCGCCTGAATTTGGAAAATGGCCATAGCCCAGATCGGAAGCCACCTCAAGGGGCTCACTCTCTTGCACCAACCCATCATCTCAAACCTGATGTCGATCTATCTGCGGATTTATTCGAGATTAGTTTCTTGAGTACAGCGCGCGCTGGAACAATTATAGTTGGAGAAGATGAGTTGCGACGCGCGATCGCTGCTTTGGAGGCGGAGAGGATACAGGATTCCTTTACACCGAATCCGCCCGAGGAGAACGAGGAGAACGAGGTTGACGAGGAGTGAGGTTCTGTGAATGATTATTTTGCAATTGATGGGTTCGGCGTTTCATGAACTGGTAAAAGTGGATTCTAGGTTTCGGTCTCTATTGCGTATGTATAACTAGATGATATCTATGACGCTCGTTTGCATAGTGTTTATTTTTTGAACTAACGAATATGAATACCTGGCTTTGATAATCGTGCTGGACATTGGCATTTCCAATGAGAATTTGTTTCATGAAGATCCCTTCGAAGATACTATTCTAAATTATTGTTTTGAGAATAGATTTGGAGCACCGATTTCTCCGGACGACTCGTAAGGTTATACTACTGGAAATAAAAAAGGACGGCAAGGAATCGGCGCAATCGTTCATCGTTCACTAGATTCGTACTATCAAACTCGAATATTCAAAGCTCTGCGTACACCCCGACCCTACTGATTCAGAGACAAATCGAAAACAATCTTCCCTCTCGCATGCCCTCCATCCATTCTCTTGAATGCTTCCTCATATTGCTCCAAGGGCCATACACTGTCTACCATACCACGACAAGTACCAAGTTCAACCAGCTTTGTAATACTTTCCAGATGTCTTCTGACAGGTTCCATGACAAAGAAGACATCCTTCACACCTGTTCCTGTATATTCAGCCGGGCAAACCTGTTTGGGTGGCTGGAAGATACTAAGAACAACACCTCCATCACGAACCGTCCACCAAGCATCCTCAAGTGACTTCCTCCCAATGCAATCAATAACAACATCAACCTTCTTCGCAGGATCTTCCGCCCACTCACAGATATTAGTAGACCGATAATCAAGGACCTCTTTCGCACCAAGAGACCGCACAAGCGCAATATTCGCAGTACCACATGTACCCACAACCTCCGCACCGAGCAGACTAGCTAACTGAACCACCCACATTCCAACACCACCCGAAGCAGCAGTGACTAGCACTCTCTTCCCTTTCCACGCGTCTTGAGCCGTACTCCAATCCGCCTCCGCATCACCAGCAATACCCGCATGAATGAATAGAATCTGCCACGCCGTCTCGGCAGAGACAGGCACCGCGGCGGCTGCAACCCAGCTCAGGGTCTTGGGTTTATGGGCCAATTCATCCGTGACCCCGATCGTAAATTCCCGCGCATTTCCTGGGCGGATGTAGTTCGTTCGTGCGTAGACTTCATCGCCTGGTTGGAATGGCGAATCTTTCGGTCCGGAGATAATTACTCCTGCGACGTCTGGACAAGGAACCAACTCACGCGGATTTGGCGGAGGGAAGTTCTTTGGCCAGAGGAGTTCTCCGGCACAGGGAGCGCATGTTTTGACGTGTATTAGATGTTCTCCCAGCGATGGATTGATTGTTGGAGTAGATAGGGTGGTGAGTGAGAGGTCTTTTGAATTAGCGTTTGGTTGGATGATGCCTCGCATTTTGGCTGGCGTGGGGCTGGACATTGTTCTGTATAGACTCGGTAAAATATTATGGAATGTATCTGGATTTCAATGGTTAAGTTGAGAATGATACATACTAGAGAAGGGAATTGTTTCCCCTTTATATAAATGAGGCTTGCAAACTACTATGCGGAATCGGGCTTGAGAATGGATTACCGCGATTCCGGGTAGGCTATCTGTCGTTTATTGCTCAACCACGGATTTAGCCTCTGTGCTTCCATGTTTGGCATATGCGCGTGCCCCTCTAACTCATAGACTTGGCATGGATTTTACTACGAATAAAATCGAAGCATTCAACTAGAATGACACATACAGTACAGCCGAACTCCCGGGGCTAGAAGGGCCTTCGAATCTGACTACTGTCCCGTGTCAGCTTTGGTCTGACATGTTCACATTGGCTCTCAAAAGTAGATGCTAAATTTACTCTACTACTAGTAATGCTACTAGTATGAGCATTTCGAAATACCCCGGAATGACGTTCTCTCCCAATGAACCCACCTTGAAATAACAAGGGAGTCCCTTTGGATTGATTTTATTTATCTAAAATATCCTGGAATCATTCCTTCAAAAGAGGAGAAAAAAATCAAGAACCGTATTTCGCACGTCTCTCATGTTTCAATCCTGATGAAGAATTCCTTTTCACCTTCTTTTAGCTTCACGGCCGCTCGTTGAACCATCTCATCCTCTACAGCTAATCTTAACTTCTCCGCTGTGCTGGGCGCGTTAAACACCAGCGGGGTAGTGACGTTGTTCATCTCTCGCGCAGCTTTCACGGCCTCCCTCAAAGCGAAAAACACCGTAGATCCCAAGAAGAGTGGGGGCTCGCCTGTACCTTTACTGCTCTGGATAGAGCGTAACTTATCCCAAGATATCGGGTTACCTTCAGAGTCATGCTGTAAGGTTGAAATGTTGAATACTTGGGGTATATCAGAGAAGCCTGGAGATGTTAGTAAAATAAAGTCGCGAAAAATCGAGTTTAACGTACCAGGTATCTTGTAGGTTCCAGGACCTTTGGTAAATAATTCCCCCGTCTTCGTCCATAATGATTCTTCCATCGTGAATAGACCTTGGCCTTGCACAAACGCGCCTTCGATTTGGCCATAATCAAGGGCTGGGTTGATAGAACGCCCAATGTCCATCATCAGGTCAGTTCTGAGAACTGTCGAGTCCCCAGTCAAGGTATCCAGCTCCACTTCAGATATTGCACTATCACGCAAGGTCAGCATTCCCTAAGCCTTTCACACCCCTTCTTGAATTGAATCACTTACACCCCCTGAGTCCAGTAATAATACCTAAAAATATGATGTTAGCCTCATTGCTCGTGGGAGGAGATCAATAAGATTGAGTTCTCACATTGGTAGCGGATCCTTCCAATTGCCCCATTCGTACCCAATTCGAGGCATTTTCCAGAATCCATTTGCGGCTAGGTTGACTCTGTCGCGGTACGCAGCATGTACAAGCTTAGACATGGGCGCATCCATGCCATACTTTTCCCGATACGGCGCCAAGCGCTCATTCAACTGGTCGCATGCATTTTTGACAGCTTGTCCGTTCAGGTCACTTCCCGATGATGCCGCGGTCGGCGAGGGGTTGGCGATCTGGTCAGATTGTGACTCCTTGTTGTAAATGTCGTCCACACTGACACGAAGCTCTTCCGCGGCAACTTGACACATCTTAGTGTACAGGCCCTGTCCCATTTCAGTTCCTCCGTGATGAAGTTGGATTGAGCCATCCTCGTATATTTTTACATATGCTCCAGCTTGATTCAAGTGTAGAGCTGTCGCAAAGCTGTGAAGCAAGTCAGCTCACAGGAGCAAGAAGGGGGGGTTGAGACGGAAAGGGGTCCTAGTACGCACCTCAGACCAAACTTGCATGGAATTTTGGATATTCCTCGCTTCTTGAAGCGATTCTTCGAGTTGAAGACCTTGATAGCAGCCTTTCGCTTTTCGAAGTCAGAGTTGACGGTTAGTTGCTCCAACATAGTGGCAACATGGAAATCATCGGTGATCTCCTGCAAGAAAGGAGTCCTTTGGCCAACTTTGTAGAGATTACGAAGGCGTAGCTCATCGACATCAATCTCCAGACTTTCCGCGACCTTATAGATGATGCTTTCGGCGATGTACATGCCTTGGGGACCTCCAAAGCCGCGATATGCCGTATTGCTAACGGTATTCGTCTTGCAAACCCATCCACGGACCCAAGCATTGGGGATATTGTAGCAATTATCAACGTGAGTACAAGCACGATCCCTGATGAACCTGTTGTTAGCAATTTCTCCATTTCCCAGGCCAGACTCACAGCTAAAGCACACTTACATGACCGCTCCACTCATGTCAAGCGAGTAGCCTCCATTGTTGTACATGTCAACCTCAAGAACTTGTATCTTTCCTTGAGCATCTACACCAACCTTCCAACGAGCCTGGAAAGGATGCCGCTGACCGCTGATAGCAATGTCTTCATCGCGATTGAGCATCATGCGAACAGGTCGAGACTCCTTGCGTGCTGCGACTGCCATATACATAGCGAAGGGCGTACTTCTAGATTCCTTTCCACCATAAGCTCCTCCCATGCGACGTACTCGCATATTGACGCGGCTCATGGGAACGCCCAATACCTGCGCCACAAAGACTTGATTCTCCATCAGGTTTTGTGTTGAGCAGTACACATCCATAGAGCCATCCTCAACATGTGGGATAGCAAGAGCTGCATTCGTCTCCAGATAGAAATGCTCTTGGCCGCCCATTTTTGTAGTGCCTTCCAAGATATGGTCGCACTTAGACCAGGCCTCATCAAGATTCCCCTCCACTGCATCACCTGTTCTGAGTTCCTTGCCATGCTTGAAAAAACTCTTAGATTTGATGGCTTCATCGATCGTGAATATTGCAGGTAGATCTGTGTAGGCGACTTCAACGCGATTTGCAGCTTCCCGGGCCTGGAGTGCAGTTTCTGCATACACCATTCCAATCACTTGGCCGTAGTAATGAACAATTCCATCAGCGAACAAAGGTTCATCGGGTATGACAGGTCCCCACATATTGGCTCCGGCTGGTAGGCTCTCCTTGTCAACGTATCCCACAACTCCAGGCATTTCCAACGCAGGTGAATAATCAATGCTGTCCAACGTGGCATGGGCTCTCTTGGCCATAACAAGCGCACCGAAGAGTTCATTGTGTTGTCGTGGCATATCTTCCACGTATTCGGCTTCACCAGTGCAATGTTTCAGTGCTGATAAATGAGGAATGGGTCTCCCCACTGTCTGAGTCCCTCTGTTCAGCATTGAGGAAGTAAAATTATCACGGTTGCCCGAGGAAATGTCGCGGTGGATTTCTTGAATCAGATCGGTGTCAACATCAGCAAGACCTAACTCGTGAACAACCTCATGCCAAAACCGAAAGAACATAGAAATCGTCAACACTATCTGACGCGTTAGTTGGGGCACACGAAGTAAAATCGGACTATAAAAAAGAACTAACCTCGTCGATATTGTGCCATACCACCAGGTACACCAAAACTTAGATCAAATTCATCTAGGAGCGCATTCGTCGCGGCTTCCAAAGTCGCAGCTTCAGCCCATTTCT